GGTAAAGTTGATAAAGCAGAGCGTACTCGTTAAGAGAACATAACTGCTGCATTGCTCTGTCTGGTCCACTGCTTAATCGTAACATTTGACGTAGTATATATAACATCGATCTAAGCCGAAATGATACTGTTCTTTCAAATTCATTTATATATATGTAAATATGCAACTATATGGAGATAATGGTGGCGTAGTCGGACATCTAGTTCACACATAGTGCTGCGGATAGCAACATTGCTCCTGGCGAACTGCACCACATACAAATTTGGGCCGCATTTACCTAATACTTAAGACATGATTAATGTTCGCTGTGCGCATCTTTTGCATTTGGTCGCGATATCATTCGCTGACATACTGCCGCGTATTCTCCGGTTCATGGTCAGCTGCAGGCCACGGGGCATCACAATCCGGTATGGTATGGGGTCACCCGACTCTGATGACAGATAGCATATTGTAACGCGGCCGCAGCTTTGGTTGCAAAAGTTGCTTCCCCAACCTTCGTGCCGTACTCAAATTCGTGCTTTCGTATGCTCGTGCTGGTCCCAGACCATTCCGCATGTTCCAGTGCAGTTTCCCAGTCAGAAAACTTCTCGAGCAGTACGGGCACGGCGAAACTCTCCGAGAATAGCAGTAAAGTAATTCGAACGGTATCAAAGGTTCGTTCTTGTGTACAATACCCAAGGGAGCAGCTTCTGGAGCAAACCGTGCCTTGTTGTCGAACCGCACGCTCGAGCGACCCGTTGCACTATGAGTTTTCGACAGCCCTTGTCTGCATCCGATTTAGAGGTTATGGTTTGAGACCTTTAACGGGCCCTAATAAATCCAACCCTACTTTCATACAAAGGAGCTGGCACCAAGTGGAGCGCATGTCGTTGCTTTTGATTTTGGCTACGCCGATGGCAGACCTCGCACCGGGCTAGCACCTCCCGGACGCGTGTGATAAGCTAATGAATAACGTTCTTTGACGCTTTACAGCGACTCCCATTTGCCAAAGTGCCCCGTCAACTTGCATAGGGTGAGATCTCCTTTTATCTGTGGACAACAGAATATGAAGCAGTATTCCCTTCCCCTTGACCCGGTAGGCCAAGCCATACCTTAGCAGGTGTGCCGTGTCGCTGTACGAGCCCAGCACTTGGTCTTGAAAGAAGTGCATCTAGCCTCAGCGTCAGTCAAACAGTCGGCTAGCCACAATCTGTTCCCCTTTTTACCCGGCCCAGCATTATTCCTCGTTTGATCCCATCAGCATCCGTCTGTAACCTCACTTACAGGACCTTTCTATGATAGGCCCCTTTATGACCTTGTATTGCAACCGATAAGCGTGGTCGTGGTTGGCGTGTAAGACTAAGTCTTTAGCATCGACGATTGTGTAGAGTGAGCTTACGATACGCGCGACGTCCCGCACGAATTGTTGGCAATAGGAAACTAGGCCTAAGAAGCTTTTTAACTCCCTAGCAGACGCAGGATAAAGCAGGGTTTCAACTACCCGAATCTTTTCGGGGAATCCGGCGGTCATAAACTTACAGTTAGTAAAATTAGATACAGCACTTCCTGCCTTACGTAAGTGCATTTCTTTGCATTCAGCTGTAGACCGGCAGAACCCATGGCTACAAATACTTTCTGCTGGTTGTTCATGTGAGTGTCAAAGTCAGGTAAGCGGTCTATTACGTCGTTGAGGTAGACGAGAACCATTTCATACTTTAGAAGTTCAACGGTCTTACTCATCAACCCCTGGAATGTCACGGGTGCGTTGGAGACCCAATGACATCCTCATGGGCTGGTAGAGCTCCCTTGGCATGCCAAATAGCATTTTGTCCTTGTCATCTAGCTGCATGACGAGGTCCAGGGCGCTAACGTAGCGAGCGCGCGGTTAAATGGAACAGGGGCCACTTTTTCTAAAAACATTTAAAAAAGCTTCGTTTTGAACCGTACCTACGCTGCTGGACATGCCTTAAACGCTGTGACCACTCTAAACTATAGCAGTCCTCAGGAGCTGGTGAGCCAAGCTCTGGACACATATAATAGAATTCAACTGAAGAGATCTATTTACCTAGGGTGCGGTAAATCAGACAAAAGGACCGATGGTAAAGTAACCTTTACGATGTCCGAAGGGAGGCGAGTGACGATGCATCGTCATCGCCTGCCCTGAGGCTGCTTCCACTAGTCGGTCGATGCCGTAACCTCATTTGTAATAGACGCCGAATATTGCCGCCACCTGACTTAGCCTGTTACCGCGGTTTCTATTCCCTGTCACTGCCACCAAAACGCTGTAAATATAAAAACTGTTACTGACGAACAGCGTTTTACATGGCTTCAAGCACTCTGGATCTTTTATTATTTTAATTATAATTATAATTATAACTTTAATAGTGGAGGCGTGCATCCTTACAACATATAGGCTTTGGTTAACAGTAATTGGCAGGTAAAAGGAAGCGTAGACAGCGTGCCCACTAGAGCCAATAAATTATATTCGACTGAACGATCGACGTTTTTTTCAGCATGATGTTATATCTCTGGTTTGAATTGAACTCGTGAATTCTGGGTGTATGTATTTAAGCATACATAGTCTTGCTAAATACCATTCCTTGGCATATATAAGATTCGTTTATATGATTCGTTAAACCGGGGCGTAAGCAGTCCGTGTGTAACTAAACAATTGAGTGCCACTAACTGCAAGTAATCCTGTAATACCTTAGGACTTTAGTATGTACACCAGCATACATTTATAATAAATGATCAAAAGACAAGTATAGGTACTTGCCTTGTCCTTTTATATGAGGTCCAGCTGTAGTCTTCGTGGAAAAGGGCTAGTACAGCAATATGTGTTGGTTCTATTTATTTTATAAGCATCACAAATGGCACCCAAAGCCATATCATCCCAATGATAAACTCAATCTAATGGCATACAATGCACAATGCAAATCCTTGTAAAGACGGGACGACCTGCTTAAATCCAAGAAAACAGCGTGAACCTTATGTGAAACACGTATGTTTGTCTTTAAGAGAAATTCTTCATAGATTGCCAAGGATCATATAATCATAAATCGCAGGAAGAAAGATCTATTTACTTAGCCAATTTGATTGACCCCTTTGCTGCCTTATTGCCAATTGTCTCTATAAAAGATGTTTATGCATGTTTTATAATCATCCTCCCTTAAGTAGCAGGGGCGGTCAGGCGTTAGAAAGCTAAGTTCATCTTGCGGAAGCATTTAGTTTAGCGTTGACGACCCTCTATCTAGCTCTGGCGGTTTCATCGTGAAGTTTCCGAGTCGTCTTCCGGCGAAGCCCTCAAAACTTGTCCCCGATCTTATGATCCATATCTATAGGGCGCCGCTGCAAGAGATCTTTTCATTATCGCATAATTTAACTCCCCTCGCACTATTTCTACCGTTCACTCTCCCTTTACCCCACTTTTGTCGTCGTTGCCCACGTTCTAGCGTCTGCGAAACGGCTGCACTACTTAAGTTATTCGCTTAATATCGTTCGTTCAATGACACTCTTACGTTTAAAATGAAAAACTTGATTGAGGGTGGAGGGAGAGGGGGAGGGGGAGGGTAGAGCCAAAGTTTTGAGAGCAAAACCTCGAGCAGAAAAGGGAACGTTGTGGAGAAATACATAATATTCATATAAGATCCTTGCAGATTACATGTCTGAAAGCCTAGCCCAATTTTTAGGGGCCAAGTAAAAACTGCCAGTCATCGCTCCGTACGCTGTTGAGGGTTTTTTTAATTAAACAGCGTTATGTTTATTGAATCATTCAGAACCGCGATAAATATTCATATTAAAAAAGGGCTCAATTCTATAAAGATGCTATATTTTACGGTGACTTCTACTCTTCCAATGCACTTGTACCGTTTAGTATCTGAGAAGATCTGAGCGTGTGTTCGGGAAAGTTACCATTAGAGGTCAGAGCATCTGTCAGTAATTGGATAAGATAACGAACAAGCACTGCATTAAGAAATCTATAAAAGTCAAGTAAACAGAGACAAATCACTCCTGTGTCCCGATGTAGCTTGACCTCAAAGATGACAACTGCAACAAACGAACGTAAACAATAATGGCGCATAATTTTGAATAAGATCAAAAACGATGGTTGAGTTCGACAAGTCGAAGTTTGTTGTGTTGCATTTCGTATTGAATGATCTAGCATAGTATGCATGGGTAAGTTAATTCGGTATTATTAAATTTGCTTCGTTGATTTCGTTACCTAGACCCAATTGGACCCACTTGACGTGCGTCGGACCGGATAATATCTCACTGTGGCACCATGGCGGTCTTATACACGTTCAAATTGTAGCCAGCTGTACACAATGAAAATAACAACAATTGCTTTAATACTGAGCCTAAGTACCCCGTTCAAAAGCGTCCCGAAGGGCATTGCTTAAAGCTGTACCAAAACTGCAATTAAATCTACGTGTTTGTGAAACCCATATTATATATATGGGCTTATTATATATAACTTATTATAATATATAAGTTATGTATATATATATATATATTAAGTTTACGGTTAGTGTTGTTTTATTGGTGAATCTTTTCACCCTTGGACCAGCCCCTTTATAGAAGACGAAAACGGTAGATTCGACTAAATTATAGTGTTAGATGCTAGAACTCACGGATGCGATGGACAATGGCACAAGCCGAAATAGGTCAGTTTTTTTCGACTGTGTTCTTTCAGTAACTTCAGCGAAACTTACAATGATTGTAAGTTTTGCTAAAGCTAGTATTTTCTAACGGTATGGGTGATCCACATCCATCAGTTTTGCATGGCAAGCACGTCTTCATTTATCTCAATTGCGTATATAGTTATAATGGTGACGTGAAAGGAAACTGCTGTTTCAACATGTACTATCATAGTTATGACTGATCAATTCATGCGCGCATTAAATGCCAGAATACTATATATTATTGCAAGAACTACATTTGAACGAGGCATCTCGTCCAACGGAATAATTAATATAATTTATTGATAATTAAAATTACTAATAAACCAATTTCAATTTCAGCCGTGTTACTCAGCGTGTTTATTGCTACGGTTTTGTGCCTAGCGTTTCTGGCCGGGTCAGCTGCCGGTGCCGAAGAACAGGAACATGCTTTTCAGGTTAGTGTGGTAATCACGACGGCCAAGAGGCACACATACATGCAAGTATAACTTAATAAAATCGTCTTCAGTAGGTTTATTGCTTAGCTAAATTTTCATAAACAGCACAAAATAACTGCGGGCCATTCAGTCTGATACTTGTTCCCCTGTAAGCAATAAGAAGCAACATTGTATGTATTTCTAAATTCGATATAAACTTTGTTTGCGTGTCTAGGGAACGGCAACTGGTCACGGAAGGGCTGCATCGGATACTGAGATGATGAATGCGATCAGGTAGAGAAGCACAATAGCTATCATTATGGCATGCGTTAATTTTCGATTTCATTAAAAAAATATTTAAATCCTTATCAATCACCGACCAGTTTTCCTTTCCCTTCTTCTATCTAAGCCGAGAACCTATGTTTGCAATATTTTATATATGATATTATTATATGTATAAATTCCTATTTAATTGAGCTGTATACAGATCCACACAAGTCGATCCTCCTCAAGCATTTCGTAACACACTCCCACGACTGCCGAATCATGATCTCCTTAAAATGGTGATCTGGATTAATTCTGCCCGTAGGCACATACAGCTGTGGGAATTTTCCATGTTTTTATATTGACACCATTTTTCATCATTCGTAACAATTATGGAAAAAAAAAATCTGTTATCGTTACCTGCTTATGCCGGTCAAAGTACTGGCAGACAACAAAAGGCTATGTTTTTTAGCCTTGCGTGCTTTACCTCGTTTAGGGGATACGCGAAGAGGTTTTTGTTCAAATACAGGAAGTCATACATCCTAGGTGCTTCAAATATTTTGCGGCTTATCTTTTCGGCGAATTCACGGGTTGTTTGCCATCCTCATCGACCTCAGGTAGCCGACAGAGCAGAATGCATCCTTCAGTTCGAGAACTACTATTGGTGAGCTTGGTTAATCACCTTCAAACAGTGTTCTCAGGCATAGACTCCGCACCGCCATGATATAAGTATCTTACCTCAGTCAATAGCGAATTAGAGTAGACATCAAATATGCACGTTTCTTTTTTATCAGGAACATCTATCTCTGTAGCCTAACCTCAATGCAATGTTCCGCTTACCGCATAATGATAATACGGGACTATGGAAGTGAATGAACATATTCATATGCTATAGAAAAAAAGAAAGGGAACATTAAAGAAAACCCATCTTACAATCTAATATCTGACATTTATGTTTAATGAAGTGCTTAATTTATATTTATACATATCGAAAAAGTTGAAGAGATGAAACTATCGCTACTAACAAAATTTAAGACACGTTAATTGGAAAATCCGCATAGTTTACAAATATGAGTTGGGTTTCAAACCTTGTATATCGTGAGCAATTTCTTACAAGGCGAATAATAAGCCGCCGGTTCTGGAAGTTGCGGAAGAAAACGTTGACCTTGAAAGTGGGTCTCGGGGAGAGTAAATAACGAGGAACTGAGAGCTGTAGCGGAAGCTGATTCTGAAGCAAGTACACGGATCTGAACACTCAGGTTTCGTGTAGAGAAAAACATCACACTCGTCTAGCTTGGTCAAGTTCCTAGAGGGAAGAATTGGGTAAATAAATGCCGAATGATTTGAGCAGGTATCAAAAACAGGCGTTTGGACACTTGTGTTTTTTTTGCTCGAATTTTCATTTGTTACGAACGGTAGTTCCTCTAGAATAATCGCAGACGGGGCATTTCAGTGCATAATGTACAAGCAGAGCATGAGCCTAACGCAAATGCACAGCTATGAATATGTAGAATGTTTGCTTTGAACTTTAGTGCAGGTACTATCCATTATAGCTTTATAAATTCAGGCCTGCCTATTTCGACTTAGGTGTATTGTCAATTATTGCAGAAGAAGATAAACCAACTTTGCATCAATGAAAAAGAGTTAAAAGAACGTTAATACGTGGTAACGTTCGACCGAACAGGGCATGAGTTGCGGTAGAAAACATTGGCAGACTCCCTCTTATCCATCATCGTTATCGGGCATTTCTTGCAAAAATCACATTTTTTCACCGAAATTTCAATAGCTCATAATGCAAAAAATTAACATCACGTCGAATTTGCCTTTCAAGATATGGCTTCTTAAAAAGCGTAAAGTACAACTTTACGCCTTTTAAGAAGCCAAATAACCAAGTTACCATCTGAAAGGTGAAGGGTCGTCATTGGTAACTGCACGTACTTCGATTAAGAATGAAGAAACTTATGTATGTGTAAAAAGTTTGAACTTACTATTGCGAACGTTCATACGAAACAGTTTAATTACACAATCTTGTTATATGTCAAAAAAAGTCGTACAATTTCAAAACCAGTTTTTTTTTTTTCACAAGAATGGATACGAGGTAAATGGATTCACATATACCGCGTGTATCAATTCATATTAAAACTGGCTATTTACAATGTGAAGGTAACTTGCTAGCTAGGGGCAATTAACTCTGTATGAACAGAAAACAGCCATTTTTTGATACGAACTTTTTTGAATTTTAGAACGATTCTATTGCGTTCTCTACGTTCTCCTCGCTACCATGGTGGTACCAGCCGCAGATACGATTATGTCAAGCGATTTCCGGAAGTAAGTAGAGTTACCGAAACATTACTAGTAGAAATTTACGTGATTAACTTGTACGAAAGTGGGGCTATCTTACCTCTAAATAATTTTTTAATTGCATAGTGTTTAGTATGCCAGAGGATTAACGACAGTCTATACTAGAACTTGGATAGCCTTGTTAAACATCGGGTTGGACCCATAGCCGATGAAGTAGATTGAAATAATTTAAGGAAGAGCTTGTAAAACCAGGAGTCTAAGCGGGTTTAGGGCTATAATGGCTTGCAAAAATACGATATCGTATCGAGACAGAGTAAAATCTCAACACAACACAGTTGTGTCATTTCATATATAAATACAATTGCTTTAACTTCGAACGAACAGGGCATTGTTGATAGTATTGTATAGGTGACGCGGCTACAGTTATATGTTTGTATCTTATGCTTCTTTTCTGCGGAATTGATATTTACTGCTCCGAATTTTTACCTGAACAGGTCAACGCCCGGGGCTTCGAGTCAGACATTTTTGACGAGGGCTTTGGTGATTTTAGCCCCGTCAGGCGCCGATAGAGTAATCATGCGACCACACAACAGAAATCCTCGAAGCCTGCGAAAGCGGCATTGAATGACAGGGTGGATGACGGGTGAATGATTGATGATCAAACGCTAATAATACAGTTATCGCCCGAACGGCAGGTAATTTATTGCACCCCGGCAGTGATTTAATAATCGTAGACAAAGCACGTATGTACATGCGTTGCATCGTTTGCACAGAGACAGCTTCAGCCAGCATCTACTATCTACAAATAATAACAATAATCTCTTCTGTATATATCTATCTAACTGTGTCGATAATATTTTTGTAGAGAAACGTATCGTAGGAAATAATCTTAGTTCCCCTGCTGAAACTATCACCCTTACTGAGTCACTGCCTACGTTCCGCGTAGACAATTCTAACGCATCCAACAATCGCAATTTTCCTTCAGAGGATGGAGCGAACAGAAGATACCAGCTCGTGTATATTCACGCCCCAGTGAGAATCCAGCCTCCGGTCTCCGGGAAAATAGCACCAAAGGAAAGGCAAAAACAGTTCCTAAAAAAATACCTCATCGTAACCTGTTGTGCTGAAAAGTTACGCCATAGACTTTGCGCGCAGCAAGGATGCTTTCGCGGCAACACGTCATAGTGTCTAGTCAACATGTATTAACACGACGAACATAGCTGACGTCGCCATTGAAACGTGTAATGGAAAAAGATCATTCGTATAAGCACACGTGATCGCGTCACACTTTAGACTGATTTTACACTGATATAGATTTCTAATCAAATAGAACGATGTTACCATGCAAACAACAGCAGTTCGTGGATTTCCACCAGACCCCACTAGGTACTGAATAATGACAGAAACGTCGTAACGGCAACGAGAGATCAACGGCAAAATGAAAATCAGCCCCACCAGTTATTATGAAGTGAAAATATCGATATCGTATCTCAGAAACTGAATCTCCCAAATTGATATCGCATAACTTACGACACGACACGACACGTTCCCACCGGAACGTTGCGCATAACTTAAGTGAATTACACTTACGCCGCGCTCGCAGCGACACACATGACACGTTTACATGAAAACAGCATATTGAAAATTATAACTTATTCAAAACGACATATGTATATATATATACATATATTTCTTTGATGCAACCAAAGAGAGGCGTGAATATTTGTTCGACGTTAATTATAAGACCCGAATGAGTGTTGGACTTCGCTGAATTGATCACTGCGAAGGTTAGCGAACCAAAATTAGCTAAGAAAAATTGAAGCTTGTTAGTGTCGGGAACTATCCCCCGATAGAGAACAACAATCATAGAAGACCTATCAATCAGTCAGCGAGAATGAAACGAACCCACATACACATGTCCCGCATAACCAACCCCTGAACATGAACCCCTGAACCCCTGAATCTCAAAACTGAAAGACTTGCTGGAAGAAACGCCACTATACATTAGATAAGAAAAAAGTGACCGGATAAGACTATGTTAGTAATCCTATTTTCGAATATTAGCCAAATAAAAAATATATGCATCGCAGATTGTGTATATATATATATATATGTGTGTGTATGTAGAATATTGCGTTTTTCTATATATATATATATATATATATATATATATATATATAGAGAGAGAGAGAGAGAGAGAGAGAGGGAGAGAGGAAAAACGCAATTCCGTGAATATATAGCAACTAGGTTGGAATAATAAAATGTCTGCTTTCTGTCAAATGCAGTACTAATAATTCACACTGATGACGACCTCTCTCGATACAGGTTTACCTATGCCACGGATAGCTATAAATAACAACGTAGTGAAAAATTCGAAATTAAGAACGCAGCAGAACCGCCTCGTTCGTTGCAAGCTCATAATGATATTCCAGAGAATAGTCGTAATTTCCAGCTGAGTCTACTAACAAAGCAGGTCAATCGATGAGCATCCGGCCGACGCTAATCGAGGAAAAGGTCCCACTGAAAACTGCTGTCATTCGGCAGCGTCACACGTACGTCGACGTCGGATCTTTCTCGTATGGGGTTCGTACGAGTACTGATATATCTCTGGGGCATACAGCTGTGAATACCCACGTACGTAAATCGAAATGTGAAGCGAATAGCAACCCATTAAATGAGCCAGATTTTGTTCATAGCGAAATCACAGAAGTTACCGAGAGTAAACTTTTGTATGAAAAAGGTTTTAGCCCATGAATGGGTGTCGCAGCTGGTCATTTCGGTGCAACGCGGAAATAGAAGGCTTCTAGTCCCGTCCAAGCTGAGACGAATTAGGTAAATTAAATTTCAGCTACTCTCGGCATTGTTGCTGGGATTGCTGACACTAGGACTTGCTCAAAGCTACGTTTATAGGAAATGCGATTCCGGCCTAAACCAGAAGTTTAATGACTACTCCTTTTAGAAAGGAGAGTCTAATGGAATGGTGCTTCTTTTTTTCGGCGCACGAAACGATATGATTTATCGATGAGCGATACGTGGGGGTTATGTTGTCTAAGAGGAGGCTTTGGGTAGCCATGACATAAGCTCTATTGAAATACAGCGGACGGCTAAATCGAATGCGTCTCCATTTCGTCTTACCATTCGTCCATTCGTCTTAACAACGGCACTACTCGCAAGATTTGTTTTCTTGTTATTGTTTCACGTATACGTACTTTGAATGGTGCCACTTTTGCTGGCATTGACAGCGAAAAGACATCCGCTGTGGACGATTAATCTAAGCTCCAAAATGAGAGGCGTCCCGAAAGGCCGGACAATTCAGCTTGTGAGGGAATAGTTTTAATTGTTATCTATTTCTTGTGTTATCCGGATACTTGTCAAATGATCTAGCGTACAAAATGCCCCAGATCTGAACAATCAACTCCAGTTATTTAGATGTGGCATATTGCGTCACGCATGTGTTTTCATATATATTACAGTTACCGGAGCTTATTTAAGGTGTCACATCGGGTTGTACAATAGCACTTAAGAGTGAGAAGAACATTTGTGCATCGTTTATTTTTTTTGCATTGTTGTCTGCTGGACTCTGTAGTAGCAGCAGGTTACTCTAGAGACTGATATTTCGAAATACGACTTCTACGATTAACTTCTAGTCGATTAACTTAGTTAGTTCGATTAACTTCGAATACATCGTACAGCGATTGATAGATCGACGTCCCTGATATGGATATATGACTTGTTTAAAGAAAATACATTTAATCCGCTTGACTGTCAAACCTACTAGCAATATTATAATTTTCTGTAGCTACACATACGGTTATATGCTGGCGGCGTCCGTTTCGTAAGTCTCGTTTTAGGTCACAGCTTATACTTACTATGATACACGTTGTAAATTTTCTGCTGGAAGCTTCTAAGGACTTGTTTAGGATTACTTAAAAACACAGCATACTGGTTAATCAACACCGACGCTTATCGGTCTAAACTGTTTGACCTCCTCTATCTGCTTTACGTCCGTCTTGTCCAACTATTTGACCTACTCGTAATCTGCTCAGGTGTTTGTCGGAGCAGTAATTCATCGGGTTACATAGACCAGCAAAAAAGCTGTTTAGTTTCGATAACTCGCTATGCAAAAAGGCATTAGTCAGCTAGACAATCGACGCCCAGAAGTCTTTTTATATAAACTGAGTTCAGGATGTAATTTATCAAGAAATACCGTCAATCCAGACGAGTTTTTCTTTTCGAGAGTACTGAGTACTATTTATGTCGTACAGCAGTTGGACATATAGCATCTACTCGGTTCCCCCGGGAATAGGTGAACCTAATAAAATACGCTCACCAAAAGCTGTATAACGTGTTTGTAAAGAAGGCCATATCCAGTACGGGATTCCAGAATAGCATAGCAAAGGACAAAACTGGCTGGAGACACACAAATCTCGTTTTGAGCTCAAGGCTAGCTATCTTCAAGGCATTTGTTTACAGTATAACACAGTTCGGCCCTTCAGAGCCGAGATTTGGACTTGGAACCACGTAAGACCTAAACTAAAGCGCTAAAATTTCATTGAATGTCTGATGGACTGACTGAAATCACAACTCGAAGCAGGATAGAACACAAAAATGAATTTGACGTTAAGGATGAAAACACTGCTTCTCCTGTTCATCTACTATAGAACTTGCAAGTCATATTAAAAATAGGAGGCCTACACACTTCAGGAAGCTTGCGCTCATCTATCACTGCTTAAGAAGCTAGGTTTTCGCGAGGTGTGTATATATGTAAGCTAGTTTTTGATGCGTTCATATATCTAGCGTTAACGCCTAACAATTAATCATTTTCAAAAAAGAAAGAATATATCAGCAGAATGTTTCAACTGTGTGTCCTATGAAAGCAAAAAAGATCATGTTTGCTAGCATTCAATTTGGAAAATGAATGTTACTAGTTTCTAGGTTATTTATTTAAGATCAAAATGATAGAACGGACTAAAAGGGGCATAACGTTAGCCGCGACACGCTGTCGCATGAGTCCCTTTGCTGAAAACTTTCGACTTCGCGTTGCGTTCGAGACTTATAGCGTTTTGCTGGGAGCGAGTCCTTCATAGCTTTGTCGATCAGGAACGCTCCGAGGCAGATAGATGAAAATAGCAGTTATTCTCGTGCACCTTTTGGACTTTTCTGTGACCTAGTAGTGCTTTCTAGTCATCTGCACCGGCGTCACGCAAAGCAACTGTCCATTAAAAGATCTTCTAATAACAAAGCTGCTAGAAGCCAGAAAAGAGGCCAACTTGAATTAGTTGGACATCGCATGAGTTGCAGTAGATCGAGACGTAGAATGACCTGAAGATGTTCCGGCAAGAGCTCCATGTCCGGACACCTCTTTGGGGCAGATCTTCAACAGGGCCCCACCCACATCCTCCCTGGGTCGGTGATATAAGCTAACCTGTTCCTCTCATACCGGCTAATCGTATCTTGGATGCAGTGCCGAAAGTGCAACATGTCACGGTGGCTTGCAATAACCACATTACTGCTTCTTACGCTGAAAGCTGGTGCTGAATCTTCTAATTTGACCACATCGTTCGCAGATCGAGTCTCCTCCTCGTCTATCGCAAGATTAAAAAATAAGAGCCCAAAGGATTCGCCGAATGTGAGCTTAAGGGGTGCTGGAGCTTTCAAGTTAGGTTCATTGATCGACAATATACTGCCAAAGAGTAAGGACGTTTCGAACTCGAATCCGGTGGTGCACGTTGGCCGAGACGTACACAGTAAGTACAACAGATTTTACCAGTTAAGTGAAAATGTATTCTTCTAACTGCTGTTTCCTGCGTAAGATTGTGACATCTTTTGGGCCTTTGAGTGGCAGCTTGACGGACAGGGCAGACATAATCTTCGAGCGACTCTTGTGATGGTAATCAAATAACGGCCAGAACCAAATATCCTTTAGGAACAACTCGATAGATCAAAGTTGGAAGTAGGGTTCTAGTTGTTTTTGTTGGTCTCTGTTTAACAAGGATATTTTTCAATTACACTATTAACGTTTTGCCAACCTTCAGTGCTCACTACAAGTAATTCAGTTGTGTTTCAGCACCCGGGTTTCTGGGTGTATAGTTTCAGCAAAACAAATAATAGGAGCAGACCGCAAAAACGGTCATATGTATGTAACTTCTCAAGTCGACTGCTATAATAACTTGCTCGTTTTAATAAAATTATTCATATTAATATGTTTATATGTGATTTCTATTCTGTACAAAAAAAGGCTGAGCGGTTATAGGGGAAATTATCTAAGTAACGCAGTGGTATATCTGTACACAGGGACTACACAAATTCATCTTATCTCCATTACGATTGACTGAAATCATCGGCATTGTTATTATTATTATTTTGCTTATCGCAAAATCGTGCTAACAAAAAATGGGTCAATCACATTACTTTTTTTAGCTAATTAACTTTGAACAATTACCACAATATCCTACCTTACTACTTTTAGAAAATAGATAGAAATGGCTGGCCGTTTGCGTAAGACTCGATGAAACGCGACAGCAGTCTTGTTCTCGTATCTGTATATGGTCTACGTTGCGGGCAGGCATTCGTTTCGTAATATGCGATCGATTTTGCGCTGAGGTTATAGAAAACACCCACTCAAATGATGCCATATACGTAAATATCAGTGTAACCTTTTTGCCAAAATGTATGAAGTCATTTTGTACGTATTACATATTTGAATAGATGCATGTCAGAAGAGGCCAGGTATGATTTTTATAACGCCGCACTGTATAATTTGAGGTATTGTTCGAATAAGTCACTTGCTGCCCAATCGACCCATTTATATAGAACTCGGCATTAATCGGGCAACGCACCGATTTTCTGAATAGCATAAAGAGCTTTCTACTTTTACATATACAGTATGGAATTGGATTGGGTAGCGAATTGGAATAAGCGTCCCGAATATTCATTGAAAAAAAACTAACCTAGAAGAAATTCGTTGATTTTTGTCTGCTCTGTAGCTGGAGCCGGATCGGCGTTGTTTTTGCGTCATTACAGCTGCTTGGAGATAGTTAAGGATTTACATACTATTTTCGTCAATTAACAAATACACGGATCCATGAAATCGTCTTCATTTCCCAGAAGAAGGACTTTGCGATGAGTCCATATCTGGTCCGTCATGGCCATTGCTGTGCTGCGTCCTTGAAACTAATAGCCGTAGTTTTCAGATCGACTGAAGATAAAATGGCAAGGGTGAAGGGATGTTTTTCGTTCCGTGCCGTAACCATTGATCTTCTAGGAAAATATCTTCTGTGTTTTAACTGCGATCTTTACCCAAACTCCGAATGATTGTTTAAATTGTGGTTGACTTACAATTAGAGGTGGCTTTTTAGGACATTCGGTTGGTGTCACCACTTTTATATATACTCGCATACAAATATAGCTCACGTCGTTCGATGTGATAAAATGAGATGTTATTCGTTTTAATTATTCAATAATTATAAAAGCCGTATGATAATATTTATTTGTTTACCTCATTCGTTTTCGAGTCATGCCTTTATGTGGTAAAAACAGAAACTAAGGTGACACAAAGCTGCCAGACCTAAGTGGATCGCCATGTTTGCCAAAAGTGTTCGTTTCGAAGAACGCTCACAGTCTGAGGGTCTAACACAGTAAAAGACGTCGGCAAAAACGTTAACAAATACGTTCTACTTTTAATTAGCAGAGCGTTCAAAAGACTTGTTGTGCGTCTTCGGCCAAATCTTACGGACCGTAGAATTACGTTTTGAGCCTCACTATATGAACAGCTAATAGTGCAACAGATGCGTTGACATGTCCATTTGGTCGGGTCTGTTTGCGTTAAAAATTAAAGACCACTATTTGCTATCGGGCTTTCAGAGGAAAGACATTTCCGAGATGGATTTCCGCCCTTTCAACCACGTGATATCCTTTTGCAGTGCTATTTATAGCTTTGAATAGTTCAAAGCATTTGTGTGTAATTGTTTGGTTGCAGAAGTACATTGCATGGACGGCTTGATTCTCCAACATGTTTTTTTTAGGGACCTTCGAATATAGCGAATATATACAAAAAAATTTCGTTTCCGCCTATTTTATCCAGATGTTGCTGGGGGCCGTTCTCTGCCTGGAGTTGTGGCTGCCGTAGGTCGTAATACAATGGCGCGTTCGCTTCTCTCCCTGATGGGTCCCTTTATGTTGGGAGCCATAATGACTGCACCGCTGATTGCGCCTTCTGCTATCTTGGCTATGGGAGCGCTAGCTCCTATGGTGGGGATCGGCAGTGGGACCGGGGTTGGAGTTTTTCGCCGGCGGAGAGAGATCCGTCAGTCACTCTTCGAGGTTGAGCAAGATATTCGGCAACAGGTAATTGTCGATCCTGAGTAATAATAAGCATCTTTGACAAATGCAAAAAAAAATTTGGTAAAAGCAATGCGAAAATTAGAGAGAAAAAAAGTGACTGAACTATTTAACGTACTTGTGAATGCCTTGAAATATCGATAGGTTAAACAGGCTTAAACGGGTTAATGCGAGTACACTATCTTTGCGATTTCCTATCTGCTTCTGTAACGATACGGACTCGCCAATGAAAATGCTAGTAATTTTTCCATGTTGAATGTATGTTTATGAAATTTCTCCGAATTTGATTATATATCGAATCTAATCACCGGTTTCGCAACGATCTGGTGGCCAATGAAGGACTTTGTTACCGCTAAGGGCCTTGGCCACATTTCGATATCTATTCTAAGTGATAAGGTGCACTAAGGCAACAACGGACGCCGGTTGCGCAGCTGCCGCTTGTCGGTGCACTTAAGAGCAGTGACATGTGTACGCATTCAATGGATCATCCATTATCGATATTTGATTCAGAATGAAACGAGCAATGCACAATGACATTTAACCGTTCTGTTTTACTACGCCGTTTATAAGAACTTAGGCATAAATAACTTAGATCCTGGCAACCAGTCACAATCAAAGTTGTAGAACTGTAGAGCCATCGCACCCTAGGGCGCGTCCGTAGAAAGCTGCACATGTTATATTGCAAACTTATGTTGAATGTCACGTTCGAACTTCTTATCTAAATTACACATAGTTCACTATGTGGTAGAACAAAGAAGTGCCTACAACGATAGATCGCATCGTTAGAATATCATGAAGATTGCGCGGTACACATCTGTTCTACGCCGCAAGCAAATCAATCTTATGCTTGAGGCGCACGAGCTGTAGATCCACGCTTAGCCTGCCTTTGAAACCGTAAATAGTAATAGTTAGTTCCGTATCGTGCAATAGCGTTCATCCAGTGAGAATAGTGTGTTGACAAATATAGAAAACTTAAAACGTCATTGATATAACGTGCGATGTTAATTTCAGATGAAGCGGATCCTTGAAGAACTCGAACAATTCTTGAGTCCTACCCCGAAATCTAAGAATTTTCGAGGACATGAAAAGAGCAGTAATTGACTTTAACGTTTTTTGACGTGCCTGGAAGAGCGGCTCTTCCTTCCGACTATCGTCCATTCTGATTAGCAAAAAATCTTCTACCCGATTGCATTACCCTCCAACGAGCATAGCGAATACATATAGTGCCTATACTCATGGAAAAATGCGATCAAAGACTTTTCTGCTAGTGTTTTCTTTAGACAATCAAACTAAAAGCGCTTTCTATCACCACGTTGACAGAAATTTTTCGTGTACGTCTAGAATTGGAGTTGGTTACAATGCTGTCGTGTCTTAAGCCTGTCTTTCATTTGGGCTTTCTGATGTAGGACACGCCTTGTCACACCTACAGTTCATTTCATCTCGTTCAATTTTCACGTCACATCTTTCCGTCCGTCCGTCCGTCTGCCTGCCTGCCTGCCTGCCTGCCTGTCTATATAATTACAGTAGTAATTGTTTATTCTTACGTGATCATAACCGAACATTAGCTGCCGCTTGTTTATAGTTGAGAAGTAGCCTTACACTCCTGTCTCTATTCTATCCTGTCAAAAGTCAAAGGTGCCTGAGTCGTTGAGCATCACTTCCGACGGCTAAATAATGGTCCTTAGAAAAAAACTCGACCTGAAGTGTGTGTACATAGGGTATCGAACTTAGATTATCTCACGTGTCTCTGAGTCCATTGAATAAATATGTTAGCATTGCACGATTACGGAGACATATAGCTCACATCGTATAGCACTGGTGAGTTATTTTGATCAGTACCTCAACTCTTTTTTAAAAGCACTCTTAAAACTCAACAAAAGCATAGTATCTTTTTCTATGATTATTAATTTTGAGTTATTTGAGTAAATTAGTAATAAACACATTTGGGCGATATTTCGGCCATAATTATTTATTCTGCTGTAATGGCACTGGGTCAAGACCCAGGACGGATATGATTATTTATGGTCAGCTATTTCCACAGTTGTCAATGCTTTCACACTACTCGGTCCATAAATAAACCAAAGTATTTAATTTGTAAATTTTGAAACATCGCTTTTTTTTTTTTAATTTAAAATATTTTTTTTCTATTTTTATGATTCTTAATAAAGTATCTTATTTCAGTTTTGTAAATCGTCATTTTATTAAAATTGAAGGTATTTCAACGGATTTCAGTGACAATAAAGGTATTTGTCGCAATGGAACTGTGATTATGTCTTTAGGCATATAATTAATACCTCCGAAGTCCCATTCACATGAACTAAGTTATTTAAATATTACACCTATCATACCGCCCTGATAGAATGTCTGTCGCCTACCAAAACACTAACAGGAGACATAACATTTACACAAAATACGACAAGATTAGACGATGCGCGCTTAACGCAACGATCGGGATATTGATCGGATTTGGGTAAATCATACAATTTGTAGTTATAATTATCTAGACTTTGTGAATGAAATATGTTTCGGGTCCAGTTATCGATACGTAAACAAGAGCCAACAGCGGATTACAGTACACTGATCAGGGCTTCTTCAGGAGAACACAACTTTTATTAAGCAGGAGCTAATTAAAAATACGCTGAAAATGATAACTCATGATTGGTTCAGCAAGAGAAAATCGAGTCGGCGTGAATAGTTAATCATCCTTTCTTGGCTTGTCTGATCCTTGCTGTTATTGTCGTTGACGGCAAAGGCGAATTTGCTTCCCTATCCCCTCTTTTGCGTCGTTCTATAAAAATATTATGCAAATCGCTCCGGGGAACACGTGCCTCGCTTTGCCCGTGCATCCAAACGGACTGCCAGGGCCGTTCGATAATAATAGAATCATTCGATATAGCCAGATTAGAGCACGCGTGACTAAACGAAGCGCTCGACCTGATGATCAAAATGAGAGGTAGAATCATTTAGAGATTATCGAACTAAGAGAACGGAGACGCTTGAATCACCGTAATCAATTTTAAAAGTCGAATATAAGATTCATCCCTTGGCTACAAAGGTTAAATTCCTCGAACAGGTACTAACACCGGAACTGATTTTGATAATCACAGCTTTGCGGCTTATACTGATTCTAGATCTAGTTCACTCTATTTAAGAGTATCCCACAGAGAGCATTTCGAAGTTGAGAGAATAACTTCGAAATCGTCTTGGCGTCGCTTGTTTTGTTTCTATAAGTAAGTATAATGATACCATTCATATTTTATTACTAGTAATACCATAAAGCGTGATATCTACGAACGGCGAAATATCGATATCGATCGGCAGAATTTGTAGGAGAAACTCAGGAGATACTTTGTGTATCACAATAGTTTTTTTTTTTTATCTCACAGGTCTACTTTGAAGCATTCAATGAAATGGAGCAAATATATTTCTTTTACGCCTCTTCGAAGCAATTCATAGTAAAGTAGAGCCCGAATGAGGTGGAACGAGTCAATACAATAACAGACAGCATAAATATAAACGATCTAGCTAATTAGCACCCATTCATAAATTAGTTTCGAATTGTACTACTGATAATAGTAGTTTCTTTACACGACTGGCCTCGGTACGAACTCAACCGCGCTTTGAATTTAAACAAGAATGCTGCTAGTTTTTCGTTTTGACTAATATTCCTTCAGATGGCCGATAAACCCCCCGCCCACTCCCAGAACTCGTCAAACTAACCGTTTGCGACCGCCTTCGAACCTCCCAAATATCTTTCGCGTTGTGACGTTTACTAGTAAGCAAAAACATTCTTGTTATTGCACCGTTCTGAAGGGGCAAATATGAATCGTTGAGATATACAAACTGCTCCATCCAACGAAATGTGTGTTTTTCTATATTCCAGTAATTTAATTATGTAGCACGTAGTGAAATGTGTTTGGCCACCTATGGAATTGACCGCGGTGGCTTAAATATGCATGTTCAGGTATATAAAAATCAATTCGTACTCGTCAATTCTCTGTGTTGTATTACCGTCGGTTTTTTGATAGAATACATTGCAAGGTTCGAGGACTAAGGTTAAGTTAAGGACGCACTGGTAGGGCAAATCGGGACGTAATTGCTAACACAAGTTAACGCTCTAGTAATGCATATGTGCGTGAATGTTTGGAAAGAACGAGGTAATAGGCTTGGGTTTGAATGGAAGTAATCAGTCACCTTTCCTAATAATGCCCTCAGAGCTACTCAACGCTGTTTTAAATTAATGGAACACGCAACGTTAAAGCAATGAAGGAAAATTTCTATGCGATAATGCAAAATCTAAAGAAGAGCACCAGTCAGTGTTTAGGGGGGTGGAGAGAAATAGCGATGCGATAGTAGACAGGCTTGCCTCGGTTGCATGTAAATCATGTTTTTACACGAATGCATTCTTATTGTTACTTATAAATTTCGCCCCCTTACTACACTATTAGACTTTCCACTGAAAATCGCAGCACGGAAATCTTTCAGTGCACAATATATATATATAATAATAGCACAATAATAATTTAGGGCGTGGCCCTTGCAAACTCATCCCCCAAGCAGACAAACGCGATAAATATAATGCACTCTTTCATATAACACTCCGCTTTTTTTTTCTTACGAAGACCAGGATTTATTCTTCCGGAGAATGCAGAAATATATATCGTTCCCTTTATGCCCTTGGCAGAAACTTCGACTCTGCAAGAAAGACGTTCAAAGTTGAAGTGGAGCAGCTTTATTCATGATAACTAACATACAACAAAATAAAAATTATTATGCGGTAAACTTGGAGCCTTTAGAGGTTGTTCACGGTAGATCATACAAAACAACTTTTATGGATGACAGCTTCGCTGTACAAAAAGTTACCGCGTAGTCCGCTAAGCTTCGCTCGAAAAAAAAAACAACGCAATTTACAACTAATGGAAAAAACGATAAACCTTAGTATTGACGGGGCAGGCCTGATTGCTGTTACGGCCAACGTTGCTAATGGAAATACGACGTAAGATACGATCATGTGTGAATATATTTGTACTAAGTGTGCCTTTCAGGTGTTTATTTAGCCTTCGATTGAACTTTAAAACCTAGAATACCAAATAAGTTGTGTTAGAGTCCACCACAAATGTTTTCTACTTTTCCTCAAAAAACATACGGTTCTGATCAGTGCAACCTAATATCCAGTTAAACCGGCGCTATATATATATTATAGATAAGCAATTGGGTAGTATTAATGATGTAACTAAATTGTTTAGCGACAAAGGAACTTTTTTCACTCAGACGTAGACGCTACAAGCTATCCTATTTTGGCTCGCTTGTTGGCTACGTTTTCGATCACAATGCACATTTATTCAAAGACAAGAAAGAGCGTATATACTTAAATGAATCATTTTCTATCGATCCGACATTAGAATCAAGGGAAACCTTGAGGCTGTCATAGTTTCTGCTATAATAAAAAAGGTTCTAATATTATCAATGCCCAATCAGCTAACTGCTTTAGTTGTTAAACGATGTCCGGGCGGATACTATTCATCTTTTTGGTATTGAACAAGACCAGTTATCAATATACTATTATGTATTATTTGTGACAATTCAGCCGTTTATATAGTTGTTATATTTACAAGAAATTTGTGCCGTTCTTCTGGCAATCACATTATCTAAATTCCAACGATTCTTCATAAAAACAAATTACTTAGCCTCACGGATCAGTCGATTCCTAATCTCCACTGATTAATACGTTTTTCAAAATATTAGTGCAACTAACGACCAACTAACAAACAACAGTGACATTGTTAATGGTTATTCAATAGAGAAATAGCAAAGGTCACTGAACAAAGCAAACAGAAGTGCACGCTATGATAAAGGGCGAGTCAAGGCAGTATAATTACTTTGTCGTTTGATACGAAGTAAACAGTATAAAGAGGGTATGACCAAATCTCATTGATTACATAGTTGCAGGTTTGCCGTGAAGCTGATGACTCTAATGTCTTTTAGGCCGTGAACCTTTGCTCATGGATGGCCCTTTCAACTAGCAGCTGTCCGCACATGTATCCACAATAAAAAAAAAAAACATGAAATCGAGAGTTCGCCACTTCGATATGTTTAGCCTCAGGGACGAGGCGGGCATCAGTACTACCCCGCAGAATATGCTAACGTTCTCTGGAGCTGCGTTTTTTTTACAGCACTTTAAATCGCAGAAGATAATCTCCCATTTAAAATGAGACAGCCGCCGACCGTTTCTGAAGCGCAGATAAAACCCTGCGCCACTCTAAAAGAAATACTTTTTATCAGTTGGTACGAAAATTAAGAAACCCAATCGCCTCAATAAAAGATCTCAGAATGCCCCAATCGACATGTTTGAAAGCAAATATGTTGTCGCTCAGCCATGTTTGTTCTATTGAACAGCGTCATCATCTTCGGTAAATTAGACCCACTCGCTAACTTATGGAAAATGCGTTTCAGAAAAGAATAACACTGCTTTGGGAGAAGCTTGTTGTAATAACGAATGAACCCTAGTACTTGACAGCTGTACGTTTTTTTAACTTTGTTAATTACAGCTGACAATGCGGAGCTCTAGTTAAGATTTGAAACACTTAGTTCTTTCATATTTTAGTTGATAAAGTTCATAAGAGCAGATTATCTCCACAACAAAAAAGTATAGCAAATTTCAATTGTGTTCTTCAGCACCCAAAGTATATTTTTGTTTGCCAAAACGCTTGTTAAATTTCAGTTTAGGATATATGCGGATCTATAGTAATATAGCAGCTAGGGCTCTTCCACTTGCTACCATTTGCCACAACGAAGGGTCCCTTCAAGCTATGAAAACTTCAATCGATAAGACAAGGCATTCCTCAAATGGAGAACATAATGTGCTTTTGAAGAAAACCAATACATACATGTTTATTTCCTAGCATATAATTTCTCAATTAGCAATAGGTTGGCTTTCTTTTAAGGCCCTATATACCTATTTAGGATTTTTAAAAAATATAGTAATCAATTTACTAATTTTTTACTGTTATTCTCCCGCGCTTTCCCTCTCTCTACCTTAACGAACGTCAATTCACGATCCCAAATTGTCAATTATCTATTTTTGAACTTTCCAAGAAACTTCTACCCCATCATATATATACGCGAACAGGATTTTTTTTAATATATATATTCTTATACATACAAAATATTATCGCGAAATTGATATATATTTCATATATGCACGTACAGACATCTACACAATTGTTTAATCACTCAGAAAATGCAGGTGGTCTTTAGCTGTAATTATGCTGCGCTCGAGATCCGGCTGAGTATACCCAGCAAAGATAATAAGCATCAACTTGCACCTCACTACCCTTACAAACCGCACGATTTAGTTGGTACTTACTGTTCTCTAAGAGGAGAACTCCTGTGATTATAGCCTAGTCAATAGAATAGTGAAACAGTTGAATCTGTGGAACAGTGGCATTTCTGTGTTTCGAGTTCTACGTCTGACATCGCTGTTAGACATCACGAAACAAATTGTCTGTCTATGCCCGGGTCCGAACCTAGGCCACAAGAACGACACCGACACCTGCCGGTGATTTGGCGTTTCTTTCGATAAACGTGGGTCGTAATGGCTACTTGATTTGTGACGGAATTCTTGCTCAAAAAACGTCAGCTCTTCTTGAAAAGAATACGCGAACTTCGCTCATACTGATAATTCGACTAATATAAAGGACAAATCTGATCCGTGGAACAAATACCTCATATTGTACTTTATGGAGCAGGCAACATTATCGTATAATTATCGTATAAAAATATAATAATAAACAACCATAACATGTATATACAGTATTATACCCACCGTTTTAAGCAAAAGCGACTATTAAATTGAGTTGAAAAAACAAAGACATTTACCAACGTAACAGAGTTACCGTCAATCTGTTTTTCTACAATCTAATCATCATTTCTAAATCTGCTCGTGTACGTCAGATGTTGAAATTTATTAAATAGTTACTGTGGATTTGTTCGTTGAGTACACATCCGGCCTAGTTTCTGCGTCTTAGTTTTCTCTAAAAAATACTTATCTCAGCTCATTCTAAGGAACGCATTTTTCACCACCCATGCATCCTGTTCTTACTTGGAGAGATATTGCTAAAGAATTACTATGTGAGTTTTGTTTTTCTCTTGTTCTAAATTACTTTGACTTCTTAGGCATCGAGAACTTGTCCGACCGGAAGGTCCTGTTGGGCGGGTCTTGCTGGATCTCTCTGCCGTTATCATTACTGAGCTTGCGCTTGCCTTGTGTATCTGATTTTTCTTTTGCTATTAATAAATACGCACACGAGCGTCATCGGATCTTCAGGTTCAAATATATTTATGGTCCATAATTACCTGTGCACAAAAGTCAGCTCATTGCATTTCCCTTACAAGGCTTCATCTTCATGATGGAACGTCAGTCAGCAGCGCGATACGATATTTACGAAATTACAAAAAAACTGCGTAGAAAAATTCACTATTCTTATCTATTCACTCTACCCATTCCACGCGAGAGGTCGATCCGGCAACGACATACGGTATTAAAAGATTTGATAAGGCAACATACGGAGTCACGCTTCTGGCAGGAGATATTCATTTTTCGATCGAGAGGGCAAAGTTCGACGCCAATGCTCTTTTCCGAAGGAAACCTGAAATTTGTTGAAGTGTGCGTTGGAAATTGGGTTGGGGAACCCAGCGAGTTCAACAGTTCTCGGCCATCATCGCTATCATTGAATGATATGGACGTCAAGTACTGAGTACGTACATAAAAAAATCAAAACAAGCTCTCTATTGAAATTGGAATCATCTTGTAGACGAAACAGAGGTAGGCGCTAACCGGTCTAACAGTTGACTATGCACAAATCACTCGAAAATGTCTTTATAAATTTGCAATAACTTTGTCGTCGTGTCGTGTATGTCAGAAGTATCCATCGTTAACGTCGATCGCTTGATTTCACTTGCCGGTTTTTAACGGGCATAACGCGTACACAATCAATTTCATCATCCGGCAAAGGACTATTTAACTGCATAGGCACATCACATGCTACAGTGATGTTGTTTTTCAGTGTGCAACAATGACTGTTGAAGCTACCTGGTACTATTGACAAGTTACAAAATCGAAATAACCTCACGACGAAAACAGTTACTTCCAGTTCAAAAAAAAATGAAGATGTGACGATATCTGAAATAGTACCATTTGACACGCACGTGGTAGTATGTTGCTAATGTAGCAACAAATTACACACACGAGATTATACACGAGCCGTCACGTTTTCTAGTCGCTTACAACGTATACGATTTTTCTAATATGTACCTTTCCGATACGAATAATTATTGATCAAGAGAAGCGTCTCAACCTACCTAACCGCAGGCCCGCTGGTTTGCTCAGAGAGGCGGCTTTTACAGTATAATAACGATTTCGTATGGCATATCCAGATCAACGAGTGTGCTATTAACAGATAAACTTACAGTTACATAGTTTAACAATGACGTGGGCACTTTGTGTAAGTTCGTTGGTTACGATATACGCATTTCATCAAAAAACTGAACTGACCAAAATATATTGTTTCTCCATCACAGAAAAAGACATATTAATATTACCCTGTGGAGCACGCCAACATAAGAGCACAAACGGCAGCAGTGATAATGAAGCCTATTTTAAAATGGCACAATAGTATATTCATGAAATTGGCAAGGAAAATCATTGGTGCAAAAAGAATACGGTTGCCATATTCGAGGCTGTTCTTTTGAAGTGTAAAAGGGACAGCACCCCATTCAGTGCTTCACGTGCTAATTCTTTAGTAGTAGTTGTTTTTTTTTTTGATACTTTACTGATCTATTTGATATTGGAGTAGATATAACCCTTAACCTTGAACAAAAAGCGAAACTCTTATAACGAATATTAGTATAGGTCCTTGAATCATGCTCCCGCAATACATCAAGCGAACACGCACGCTGACTTAATGCTTCCATTTGCATATGTTGGTCTACATAGAGAATATTATTTTGAATTATCGCGCTCCGTATTACTCTGGTATCGACGCGCTTACACATTACTAATATTTTAGCGTATCTGCAAGACCTCGTCCGTTCGTGGAAGGGACGCAGGAGATGTTGCCAAAAGATAATTTTGAAAGAGATAATTTTGTCATTGTGTTCGACAAGGAAACCCAGCACCGACACGTGCCATGTATTGCCTGCCGTTCCCTGCGCTGAAACGTCACACAACTGTGCCCTTTCTGACGTTTTCGAGTCTCTCAGCCATTAGACACACAGTTCACAAATCGGATATTCAGCACAAGTAGGCAAAGGATATGAAGCTCCTCATGAAGTAAACACGAGTGCCTTTTGCGAGCCACAGCGAAGCGCGTAACATTGAATTATTTAGCACGAATGGGAACTCTAAGTATAGTAAAACCTTTACAACAGCAACAATTTGGTAAACATATGCATGTTTCGAATTTCGACAGAAGGTCTCGAGGCAGAAAAAATAGAAGGATTGTTCCTATATTGATTCTAATATTGATCGACTTGAGTCGATCATTTATTTCAAACGACCTTTCCCTAATCAATCGAACACAGATTGTCCAGGCTTTTCAGCTTCTATCCAAAGGCAATAAGGTGCCAATTAGTTTTAAAGAGATGCCAGTTAGTACTAAGTTCACACTGCGGCAAAAAAAAAAAGAATTCTAAACGGTGCTTGTCCCTGCATAGAGCCTAAAAAAATCTAGACTGTTTATGTCTGTATGTAGGCAGACCTTTAGACATTGACCTTTCAGGTCAAGCTGTTACTGACAATGCACGAAACTCAAGAGTACAACGAGCTTAGAAAGCTAAGTTTAAAACTAAGTTCGACTGATTACCAGTCAACATGACTTGAAATGCTCTGAATTCTAGCGTAGTGAAACATTTTGCGCTACAAGCATTCAACGTAGCGGGCACCGTTTTTACTGAAGACATTAGTGCGCCAGCGTTCGGTGCCGCCTATTACGCAAGAAGGGAAGTCGCAAACACATAGACAAAGATTTGACAATTATCGCTAAGTAAAAATACGGTAACTTTTATCGCTACAAATGGATCTGTGATCTGCGAAATCACTAGCGTTATGGTATTTTCATAGGAGTAATTCGGACTGAATTAATTGTTATGCGAGGACAGTTTTTTTAATAACGTTTTTAATTTAGTGAACTGATACAAGATGTAAGTCTATGGCTGTATACAAGTTTGAGCAGCAGGTGCACATTCTGATACCGTCCCGATGATATCAGCCGTATCGGCGGAACGCGAACTCAAAAGTGAAATTTGAATGATACGATACGTCTTCGACTGAATTTCTCTACTGAATGCTTAACTCGTCTAAGTGGTTTTGTGTGTTCGAAGACACTGTTACAGCTAGATAAAACCTTTATATTTTTTTATGGGATATTTTCAGGGCAAGGACAAGAGACTTGCCAGTCAACATTCCCGAAAGACATCCGGTTCATTTCATGATTTGCTTGCAGATAAAACAACTATTTGTGTTTATGGTATCTGTATAGATACTCACATCAACTATAGCACCCGCAGCTGCCACCTTCATCGAAGATGAGGCCAGCAGGCCGCGGGTCTAATAGGTAGCCATCGACGGGCTTATTGTCACTCCATGGCCCAATAAAAACGCTACACACGCGATGCCCTCAGTTCACTGCCGTCGTTGATATTTGCGTAGGTAAATGATTTCATATGACGTTCTTATGTCGTAGTGGGCAACTGGGAAAAGAGCACCTCTCAGATGCTGTAAGAGTTCTTTGAGAGGGGGTACTTCTACGCGGCTTTCGTGCGAAGGATCATCCAACTGACATGGCGCTATAATTGTTGGAGTTGCGAGAGGCTCACAAACCAAGCCGAGCATGACGTATATATATATAGGAGCTCTTCGTACTTTCTGCAAAACTTCACAAGAAAAAAGCCACTTGCAGCAGCAGCAGCAGCAGTAGCAGCCATGTTCGTTTGGAGCGCAATCACACTCGGTTAGTCTTCACCGCACTTCATTTCACTCATTGCTAGATACAATAGGTCCTCATTCTAAATAACGATGCTCGTTCCTCGGATCTGATTAGCCTATCCGCCCACGCTACCTAGTGTGAGTCCGTATCTAAATGACTGAAGCAAAATACTGATTTGACAGAAACAAGACCCGATTCAATCCGATGTAGAAATTCAATTTTTAGTAGATTCATTCGTTAGTGACCTGTTATGATCTACATGAGTGCTATTGCTTTTACTGATGAACAGGGGAACGTGCGTAGTTTAATAAGCTAAGTTTCTCTGTACTAAGCGGTTACAAGTATCATTAAGCTTGACGCGATTATGAAAGCAGTGTCAGATGTGAGCTTAGGAGATATAATGCTTGATCCAAATATCTTGCTAGGAACATTTGTAGGAATAAGTAGATGGCAGTTAGACTCGTCCGTGGTAAAACCATACTGCTGTTTGATAAAAAATTGATTTCGATCAGGTCTAGTCGCTCAACTGGCACAGGCAGCCTCGGTGCCATGCGATCCCAAAGTGTTGGACGAGGCCTCGACACACATCATCTTCCTGTCTAGTAACATAGATTTTCCGATAACGAGCGAAGGCCTTACCGAGTCATGTCCTAAAAGCTTCAGTGCACTTCAGACCGCTAACGATTACGTGGACAACTGCGTCGGAGGTCTCGGTCAGTATTGGATACGATTTTCAGCATAATCGCTATTCTGCGCTCGCACTTTCGCATTGTATCTCCAAATGACAAATCAAATGAATCGTTTTAGTATTGATTAGACCTGTTCTTGCCGACGTGATGATGAGTTCGGTCACAAACCGCTCTACTCGCAGGCATCCATATATGATCTGACGTATCGATTGCGATGATGCCAGTTGTACTTATTGATGATAGATCTATCTTCTTCTTTCTGTGAATGTTTTTTTCACACAACAGCTAAAGGCATGCTAAAGCTCGTCTTCGAGGGCGCAAGCAAAGAAATAAACAGCAAGTGCGTCGAGGGTGCAAAAGAGCGTGAAGAATATCTGAATATGGCTGAGTGCATTATTCTGAAGGCCGGTAAACCTATTCAGGCTTGTAATGCTAAGGTGAACGCCATCTTTGAAGCAACTCTCGCCAAGCCCAAAAAGGACCGCATCCCGCTCAGCTGCTGGTATGCATTCATGTCGTCAACGCACAAAATAGAGTCATGCGCGAACAAAGTCGCTCGACAGGTGGGAAGTCTTTATCTGTCCGTTTGCCAAAAAAGGGCAATATTAGCTACTTATTGCTACCAGGAGCAAATCTATCTACAAAGACCCTTCAACTGTCGAGCGACTATTTTCAAACTGTCAAGAGATTTTTGTTCACTCGTGTGTGTCAGCGATATACAACACTCAATTAATTATAGCTAATCACTAATTATATTTTTATTTATTTATTTATTGTTGAGATACATAATTTTGCTAGGTTGCGTAGTAACTTTATTTCGAATTCTAGGTTAACTCGATTGCAGCAACGAAAGGAGATCAGTAGTAGATTTCGTGCCTTTCGGCGATAAATATAGTATAGCTTATGCTAACAGTGGCTCTGTGTTAAATTAGAAATCATCATACAGTTTGAGCTGGCAAACATGACCAGGTTTGCCTCGGTATGATATAACAGTATATTTGATTAGTTCTTTTGCTTGGGTCACCCTCAATGTGGTTTTGGCAGCTCCTTTGCCGAGTTCGCTTTCTCAGATACCGAAATAACCATACAGAAGTAGCCACAAAACAGACCACAGTCTTCCCTGGAATCAAATGTACGTTGACACAGTCGAAAAGATAGGCCTGTATATGTAACATCAGAAGGCAACCCAGCCTACGGCAAAATAACCCGTTCGATACAATTCCATATGTGTGACTTCCCTTCGGCCAATATCGGTGTTTCCGCAAAGGCTAAATTGACTAGATGGTAACCTTTTAGCTATGACACATTTAAAAATATCACCAACAACTGCTGCCACCGTGTTGGCTGAGTGGCTGATCGAACTTAGCTGGCTCTTAACTTAGTTTTGTTTCCTAGATACTTCCCTAACCTTACTACTAAAATGATGGTGCCATTTAAAGTGCATTTATTGTGAAAATATATAGCCGTTCATTTTTCGACGGAGATGATCATATCACTAATGGCAAATTAGCGTACGTCGCTTGCGGAGGTAATAAGGCCATCGCCGTAGCGCTGTGCCATACGAAATAGCTTATAATAAGGATAAAATGCTGTGCGATAGTGTGAGTGGATTGCGGAAAAACACTTATGTATATAAGTGTTTTTTTTATGACTAATTTTTTTGCCCTTTCGTTTGTCAGTTACATGAATGAACTTTACGAATGTGTCCAAAACGCGTCATCGATCTGTGGTAAGGACGCCGAGGTTCTCACCAAGAATATTATTGACAACTACGCTGGTGAGCTCACGGACTCCGTGTGTGCAGCCTGGCGCCCAGGAAGTAATAAATGCAACGCTCTGCCAAAAATCAAGCCCGTTTCGAAGCCGACCTATCAAACTTTCGTGCCATCTTTAGTTGAAGTCCTCTCTTCCCTCTCGAATTAAGTGCGGCCTATAGACGTCACTACAGTGCGCCCTGGGCGATACATTTCCACAGGACAATCAGACTGTCGATCTTACTTATGTATCACTTGCCATTGTTCATGCAATTTCCGTAAATAAAAAAAAGTATGCACGCTTCATATATGTGGAATTTTTATTCTGCACTATGTCGATATCGTTCATTGAAAAATATCAGTGAAATTGTGAGTAATCCTTCGAACGAATGTTCGTGTCAACAGGTAAAGGTAAGCCACTAGGACAAGCAGCGAGAGCTGTAGGTAGGTTGAACAGATGTTTATAGGTTGAAACAATTTTCGACCGTATTGCACCAGTAGCGTTCATGGATGGTATAACGGACGATAAATAATAAGTCTGTATAAACATCGAACGAAATCTTTTCTAATGTATATATAAAACACTGCTGATGTAAGAGAGCGATCCCAAAATATGAAGATACGATTTTCGTTCTGCCTTTCTGCGCACCAGATCAAAATAATGTGGGGTACTGATCTTATAAAATAAAATAACTACGTCGGCAAGACAACTGTTTTATCATTTCTATTTTTTTTTTTTGCTTTATAAAATACAAAACTATTTATTCTGCGGATTGGAGTGGACAGTGCTTACATTTGCAGTCGCTGTTTTCAATCGAAATTGCACGGAACTTGAGGCCGCATCAAGTACAACAGCTGCCGCCCACCTATCCTACAATTTTTCTTATGACGGCACCCTAAACAAATAGGAAGCTGTCCCTTTGGGGCGCCGATATCATGCTCAAGTTCGCATGGTAGTAAGTAATGTACTCGCATCAAAAATGCAACTTGCGCTCGTAGTTACTTACGCATTCGAAGGACAAAGTATTTACGATTATAAAGATATATTATTAGTTATCATCATGGATAATAAGTGAAACACAATCGGCCAGAACAAATTGTAAGCAAAGTCCTTAAATCACTGTGCGAGGGAATAAAAAATACCACTAATTCTTAAATATATTCGAGCCTGTATATATCTGTATCACCATTGACTTAAGTCAGTAATTCAAGTTACTAACTAAACCTTGGTTCCTTAACCTGCGGTATCGAAAAGTCCATCCAGCTTTTAGAGTCAACCACTGAAGCCTCGAACACGCCTAAAAACATAATCACCACCTTAGTAAGAATAACTTACCTGAAATTCCCCTAAAAACCAACACTTACTCCAATCCACAGGTACCTTCTAAGGCACATTTTTACTGCACAGAACCAATCGAATATTTTTAAAAAGTACTTACGAAATAATAAAAGATACATTTATCCAAAACAAAAAAAAAGAGCAATGTTCGTCCCATAAAATCTCTTCTTTTAAAAATGAATCTTAACATTTGGCTGTCCTGATGCTGACTGCTTGTTATATCAAGCGATCAGAGTTTTTCTCGACAGACGACAGCTTATCCGTTGCCAGCTACAATTTGTTAGTTAATTCCGGTCTACGATCCACGTCACGATGCCAGTGACCATTTAGAACTGTCGTTTGCTAAACAAATATTTCATCCCCTCCTTCCGCCCCAGAAAATAGCAAAAAGACCGCATCTCACCCGTAACAGATCAAGGAGACAGTAAGTGAAAACGAAAACTAAACAGGGCTTCTGCCTTAATCAGAGCGGCTACCCGTAACAACGGTAAAACAGTTCAGAATTTACGTAAGCATCGGTGTCTATACTCATTACTACGACATAGTGAAACCTACAGCGTAACGTTACACACGTTAGTTGAAAGAATGGTAATCAGATGGATAGACCTAGCGGTCCAGGAAAGATCTTTTAATACAAATCCATATTTAAAACTGTGAGTCAGCGTGGGGACTTACCTTCAAGTCAAAATGGTCGTACTTTAGCGGTGTTTTCCATGACTCGATTGACCCAGATTAAACTTCGCGTGTATCAGTACCCCATTTTCGCTAGGTTTGCATCGTTGGCGTTAATTTTGTTTCCTACAACGAACAACATTCATGCTGTCCATTTATAATAAGGCTCATCCCGTCAGCCCGTATCTAGGCAGTGGTCGGCGGACATCCGATATTGCAAGCGGTTTCGAACGCTTTTCGTGTTCAATAGTTTCAGGCCACAATCGGCGCGTCCATCCGTCAGAAATAACAACTGGTCAAAAGTGGAAGACCCCTGGGATCGTGGAACCGGAGCGCGGCTAGCTCACATAAAACGGCTTGAATGGCGAGGCAGAGTCGATGGTCCCCCGCAGAGTTCGTTCTCACCCGCTACCAAACCCAATAAAAGCAGGCACGTTTCTCAAGTAGCTCACAGAGTGTTTTTTTTTTATCAATAATCTTCACACAGCACGATTATGTGAGACACACACACGCGTAAAACACATGAAAGATAAAATCTAAATGGGTAGTGAATACATCTTCAAAGTTTTCTATTAGCTGATATTTAGCAGTGCAGTGAACACAAGAGGATCTAACTATCAACCGTAATTGCAGTATTTTTGAAAGAGAATTATTAGAAAATAGAACAAGAACTTCAGTCGGCTCAACCCAGATGCGATTCGGCGAAACTATTTACGGTGTAATGAGGCACTTCGTTCAACCTGTGCTGCCGTCTGTACTAGCATTATTTGCTCCGTTCATTGTGGCTGCTCCGGAACCACGTGATGACGCTCACTTCCAGGATAACGCATCAAATCGTAAGCATTAAGGAAGCGTAAAGCGAAATTAAATTTACTAATCATATCTAAATACAAGCTTATCTTATCGTCGCCACAAATGTCATAGATATAACACGATAAAAACAAACATATATCGATCAATTTTAGTTTCATCATACCTATCTGCATGCATTTTCCGATTATCGTTATCTATCACTGACGGCAAAATTTATATATTTTTCGCGTATTTGCTGCTCATCCTCTACTCTAACGAGCCGGTGGAAGCGTATTCGAAACAGAGACGTTCTAACTAAATAACCTGCTAAAAATTTCGTAAACGATCCCAATACACGCTTTCTGCATTTGTACCAAAAAAAAAAATAGAACACATTTTGAGAAATGATCACTAAACGATATCGCCGTCATTTGTCAATCTTTTGGCGAAGCTCGAGCAAGTTTCCGGCAATCCCGTAACGGGTCCCTGTATGTGGCTGTGTATTAAAAAAAAACAGATCCACCAAAATCTGATGCAGACGCCGCTGAACGAACCGCTTTAGAGGCGCGTGTGAGCGTTCTACTGCGAGACAAACTTCAGGCTTTTGGCTGTATCATGCGGACATCGGATCTCGAGAATGACATTCCTGTACTGGATCCATTAAAGGTCAAACCGAAAAATATTACGCCAGCCTTCGGGCCAGATGTATTCGACGTTCGATTTTCCAACATGAAGGTAAACCGGTAATGTATATACATTATTATATATATTAGGCTTCTCTGTAGATTAGCGGTAAATATATACGTACGTATAAAATCTTGTATATTATACCTAAAAGGTCGCATCTATTAGTTAGCATAAGCGAATTATCGCGCGCATATTTCAGTAGTTTGTAGTATGAAAATGAGAGACACCTGTGAAGGGTACAGTGGTGTAGCGCTTCGGGATTAGAATGCTATAAAAAATCATCGACCAGCACCAAATAGTAGAAGAAGGAGTAGGGTTAAATTAAGCTAACTGGCCGACTAAGTTACTATTCTGTGTGAATCTATATCAATTGCTAGTTATTTTGTTTTACATTGCAAAGTGTGTCCTGTATCTTTTCCTTATATCAAAGATCGTTTCTGAATTTAAATTGTTTTACACGAATAGACACGAATGCGTGTTTGTGGCGGTCTGTTGAGAACACTACGGAAATGTTATTTCGGCTTTCAATGTGGCTTCAGTTCGAGGGACTATCGGACTTTATATTGAATCAAGTGTCATCCGACTTTCGCGACTTTCGCATTAAGATCTCAGTGCTGATTCCCCGCGTCACGACGAACCTAAATTACAATGTAAGCAATAAAGCAAACCATAAAAGACAATAGTAAACAGTATTGCAAACGTAGTATGACATCGTTGACAATACCACAGATCAGGGACGCGAACAGAGAGAGATACGATCGAAAGGAAAAAAGCAGTCGTAAAACGCTCCGTTAGCATATATGGTTTAATCGTTATAAGAAACAATTGTTGTAATGATGGTTTATTAATGATGATATCTGGTTCAAGTCCCGCCAACGTTACGTGACCTCATAATCGGTGTGAACAATACTTAAGTAGACATTTATTTCTGTCAACCATCTATGTTCGATTCTGCTGGGTTGTATATAGGTAACAGGCAGCCTGTACGACTTATTCCGTGTAGCGGGTGCAGGTGAGGCCCGAATCGAATACACTGATGTCTTTATGAGAACCGTCTTGTATCTGGATATCATCGACAACAAACTTCAACTAGCGTTCGCGGATCAGCCTTATGTCGATTTCTCGTCAGCCCAGGTTAAGGTATAGTAAAGCTAGAACAATAAAAGGTATAGAAAAACTGAATCTAGCAGCAGAAAGTAAAAACAGATAGTCAAGGTAAAATGGAAGGCTTCGGACAATACGTACGATTAGAAAGAGTTCTTTGGGCAACATATAGACTTATCTTCTATCCATTAATTTATAACCTTTACGATACTCAATCTGTAAAAACAGGTATATCCTAAATAAGAATAAGGAATCGTCCAATATCTAAGTGAGCAAATAGAAGATTGATTTTTGCGCGGATTTTTCTTTGACTAAGATGCCATCTCCCTACCCCCCGTCCGCCCCGTCGTTACAGACATTAGGTATACTCTCAAGACATTTGCCAAGCCGAACTAACCTGCTGCTCGTTGCATGAAATGTTCACTAGGTAAACGGCAGCAACGGGCCCAGTTCGAACCGACACTTCAACGATCTGTCTCATCAAGTAGCCCCCATTGTATTTTGGGTGTTCGCTGAAGACGTCGCATCCGCGCTCGAACCCCACCTAGAATTCTACTTGAACGCTCAATTAGCCAGAATATCTCTACCACCGCTAGCTTACGCTCTACGAGATCGAGTTCAGCCTCCTAAAGTACGAATGCCCAGACCTATGCCTTACAACTACGTATCGTCAATGTACTTCTACCCGCTCAGATTGTACTAACAACCGATTATTTATTACAGTTATTGAAATCTAGCCTTGTGTCAAGTATAACTAAATATGTAATAACTTACAATTGTTTACAAGTGTCGTTTGTATTAGCGATACCAGTAAAAAGCGCCCAGTCGCACGAATACGTCAGCACACTAGCAGAAGGAGCACGATAATGCGATAGTTCCTCGTTATTGACGATACACGACTTTGGAAACGGTGCGATAGACAATGGTGTTTCCACTGTGGCCTTTGAGGTGATCCCCATCTGATAAAAAAAAATTAAAAAAAAAAACAAAGCTCTGTCATTTTTGATAGTAACATAATAAACTCACTTCGAACCACACCCCGTTGTTTTGTTGGTGCAAAAATTCGGTCATTTTTTAGAAGCCGGTATCTATTTTCGGGATAATTCCGCTCGTGTGAACATCGGTCATTCAATTGCGTGAGCAATCGAGAACTCTTTTTCGAACGTCCATTGGCTTCAGACAACATGCGGACAAATCGATTCAACTGACTAGCACTTGACAGCGAACTTAGGCTGTGCTGTCACATGACAACGAAGATTTTTTCGAAGTACGGGTGTCAAGGATCATTGGCAAGCAACCAAATAGCCTGACATAATCGAGCAGAGGTCGCGCACATCAAGCGATTCCCAACCATATCATTATTGTTGCGGACAAACACGTTACCCGACACAGGTTGAATATAGGCGTGCAAAAACACAATTTCATCAGTTCGGCCTGCAATATATAATTTTCGCGCAACGCAAAGAGTAAATAGATATACGCACATATATATGTATGGATATAAAGTGAACAATAAATGCATTTTTTTATCGTCTCTCGCTGCGCAACTGCTGAAATTTATCAAAGTATCGTCAAGCAGAAGCCGTCGCTTGTCACTATAATGGTGACAAAAATGTTTCTAGCAAAAGTACTAGTTGTACCTGTACTTGCCGTGGCCGTGCGTCGAGACAGTCGGAATCAACAATGTTGAAAAAGGAAAAATTCAAGGTCTTGCAAAGTGGCTAATATTAGTGGAGGGAAATTTTTTTTTGATGTGCCTTCCATTAAAAATTGGATGCTAAATTTGACCAACTTAATTATTAATTAATTAGTAATAATTTTATTATGTAATATAGTTTTTATTGTTCAGTGCAGATATAGACGTAATAAACGATATCTAAGTAGGCAAAGGCGAAGCTAAAATACGAGTTTATGTCATTGCTGCCCGATCCATGGTTCATTACGGATAGATTTTTGTCGGATTATACAATAGTGTAATAATCGATTTTTTTAGAAAAATAAGTAAAAATAAAACTGTGGTAAAAGAGGATTAATGCGGTGCGATGTCAAATGAACGATAAATTGTCAATCGTTCCTTTAGTAGAACTTGTGGAAAGGAGAAAAAAGCTGACGTAACTCTTGCACACTCTATTTAATCTCCGCCTCAATAAAGCCTGACCTATGTGCTCAGCATTGTATATGTACGCCCCGTATCGCTGCAATACAAAAAGAATATATTGTTTTTATAATCTTGTTATCTGCAGGAACTGTGCAAGATGCCATTCTCGTTGGGAACGGCGAGAGCCGCCCCTAGAAGAGCTGAACAGAACGTTTGATGAGAAGAGAGCAACGGATAAGGAAGTACTCCAAACGACGAGCTCCAACAATGGAGCAGTCTGAGAGCAACAATTTAGTGACATGGGGACGGAGTTCGAAACAAGAAAAGGACCAAGGTCCGCTTGAAGTAGGCAACAACAATATTCTATATAGTCTACGTTTTAGTATCATTTACGGCGTGTGATGTGAACGAATTGTGATTCCTTTCATTATAAACGTTTTCTAATTTTTTTTAATTCAGAATTTGCTTTAAGTATATTACACCAGAAACTGTCTCGTGTTTCTCTAATTTACAGCATTGACGTGATACAAGAGGGTGTGTGCGGGAAGACCACAATGCGTGGTATGAACCCGTACATCTAAGTCACGTGTAGCAGAATACCACGAATTACCTCAAGCCATTAGTGCCTTAATATGGTAAATTATCTAACACTAATACTGCTTATACAAACAAATTATTTTTTTAGTAAGCAGGCAAAAGGGCCAATAATACGTACATGGCAAATTCTATCTGTACAAAAAACAGAATTATTATAGTCTTAAATATCGATGACATCAATATATATTAATAGTTGTATTCTTACCTAACGTTCCCCGGCTCTACATGATAGGGATTTCTAGATATGCTCCCTGCACTTGAAAAGTTCTAAAAGCCCAGTTACCTTTCTGCTAATGGACGAGTGACTGAACACGTGTTAAGCTCGTTTTGCTTAGATTAGAAAATTTTAGTCTAACCTAGCTGGGTCTATGTGCTGGCAAAGACAGCATTTTCAACACTCCTCATTTGTTATAAATTCCGGTTAAAAATTGCGGAATCGACCTGGCTATGTATGACGATGAGGCTTATTTGGCTGAAGGTATTTCTTAAAGGTAGCTTATTAGATGAGCACTACGAGACTTATGTATACACTAAAGAATTAATCTGTGGCATGCCTCGGAAGTTTCGAAGGCCCGCCAGGTCCGCTGATGGGATTACCTCAGCGCGAACCCTGACTTACAAGTAATTTCTTTCTGCCATTTCTTTTCCATATTAATTACTATCATAATAACTCTTATCTCTTTTTGCGCTTCCAGTAGGCCTGGGAAAAAAGCATCCTGGAAACAACTTCCTTGGTCGTAAGAGCCTTACGTTAAGCTATACTGTGATCCTTAGGAATTGGTCTGGTGACCCTTTTATCCCGTTCTCCTATTGAAATAATCCAGACGCTTTTCATTCCAATTAAATCATCCTCCATTAATCAAACTCTTACCACACGGCATGTCGGTTACTACACGAAGAAAAACAGATCTCGGCTTTAGCATTGCTGATACAGACCCAAATAAATGTTGGCCCGTTTGCGTACGTATAATTGTAACCTTAGACAAGGCGTCGGTTGCCCGTCGAAACTTCAGTCAGCCCAGCTTTTCGCTTATGGAAGGTTGCCTTCACTTCAACATGCTGACCCCGTCTTACTTAAAAAAACAAACATATAAAATATTAAAATCGCTTGGAAAATTCGATTTTGTAATGCTTGAAAAAGCCCTTTCAATATTCAACAATTCCAACAGAAATTTCCCGAAATAGCCAAAATAATAAAGCAAGTTAATTTGCCAAACACGAGTAACAATATGTTTTTTGACAAAAGATTAACCCATCTCCCAAATGTCATGCACTATAAAAAGTTTGATAAGACCAATTATTACGTGGGTTATGACAGGAAAGTAGACGAACGCAAAGACTACTGTAGGCAGCTGTAGATGGACACAAAGAGGGCAATAGATAGAACAGTTTCTGGGGCGTGTACTAAAGTGTAACTCGTTTTACCGAGACTGTGTGGAATACTTACCAATGCGCCGACTGCGTAGCCCTTCATATAGCTTTCTTCTACCTGCCGACAACTCAGCGAAAGGACACCCAGACAGATATCGGATCGTGGTATTCTATAGATAGATAGACAGACAGACAGACTGGAACACAAACGGCGAGCTTCGTCACACCTGTCAACCCCTCGCCCTGTGTAGACGCTCTTGCTTGGCAATTCGACAACTCTCCTTCTCTCTATCCGACAAAGCTCTTCTGACTCAGGCATAGGGAGGCGCATATCGTCGTAATAACACATTCGTATTATATTAAGGCGCAACCCGCAAGCTCGGCCTCGCATTCTCTTCGGCGTTTTAGTTATTCTGTTTTTATACTGAAAACAAATGAAACCTGTTTGTCGGCCGGTCTAAGAAACTTCCCTCTTCTAGTAGCCCTTTCTCGTAAACACAATAGCTACGCGGCTGACTTTGGGACAACTATACAGGGAAATTCAGACTAGACAAAGCCGCGGGCTTCGCCCTGCGCCAGTCTTGCTGTTGATTTAAAAAATTTACTCGTTTGAAGTTGTAGCCAGCCTATTGTATCTAATCTATACTATAAATAGCTCGTTATAATTGCAGTGCTTTACCTAGCCCGTTACGCTTTTGCCCGTTACGCTTTTTTTTTTTAATATATTTCAGTAGTTATCTACCCTGGTGGAATGAATGTCTCAATAATAAAGTCATTAATTTGTTGCAATTAATATATTAACGTACTGCATGTATAAGCTATGTAAAAAATATCGTAAATAAGCATCCATAGCGCGCCCAACTGTGCAGGCGGCACCGCTTTAGAACTCAATAGAACCTAGACTTTGTCCTCTTCTACACTTATTCCCGTTTTCTCAATTTAATTAACCATCCTACCATTCGGAAAAAATATTCAGTCGAAGAATATAAAACAAATATATTGAGACAATTCATATTTTATCAACTATTTTGCAAATTAACCATTTAGGTTCATGTTTTCCAATGGAAAGGAAATTGCCATCGGGTAGAGCATATTCATTCAGTCAATTAATATTATTTATATGCATAGAATACAGTTCATATTTATGAATTATGAGCTACTTTAACACAAATCACCACTTTAACGCTACATCCCAAGAAAATGAAAAGTCTAATTCGACGTCGACTATATCCTGGCAAACATATGTACAATTTGGTTCTTCGACAAATTCTCAATGGCCGTCAAATAAATTTATTCACTCGCCTAAATCAATATTGCGCTTCCTGGAAAAACTTCCCCCGGAGAAAATGCACGTGTCGTACACAAGAAAATTTTCCGTTTGTGTAGAAACGAGAGGGCCACTTGAAAATTTTACTGTGCAATTTTAGGTCTGTTGCCTAAAGGCTGTTGTCCAAACTTTAATCGGATCTAGTTATTAGGTTTGGCAGAGGTGTAAAGCGGCTTTTTCACCAGAAAAAAAAATAGGCGTTTAGCAAATTATAGCAATTTAGCTTTCGATCGCCCTTTTCCCATCTCTCAGCCCATTGAATTATTCCGTCGCGCCAGAAATTTTCAGGTCTGGTTTTGAATTCGTTCTACCATCTTTGAACGTGTTCCTTATTATCTCTACTGTATTCTTACAAATTTCATTTGCCAGGAATTGGAAACTACAGTGGAATCTGGAAAATATAGTGTGCAAAAGAACTTCCCAATCAGGCTCTTGTGTTAGACGGTCTGACATTAGAGAAAAGTGACTTTGCCTTAGTTGTCAGACATTTTTTTGTTAAATAGCCTCATTTAGGTGATACACCGCCACAGTCTACAGATCTCTGTTGACCGTCTGGATTTTCTCAAGCGTTTTTCAGTGCATAAAATCCTTCTAATCCTACAAAACGTAAATGTCTTTTTGGAATTCAGATTTAGTTTAACTTTAGATTTAAGCGTGTCTCTAGGAGCCACGCATTTTTTTCTCTGCCTCAAATTGCCGTACGAACACCAGTTTACGTCACGCATAATCATTCTGTGTGGAAATCCGTCATTTTGACTGCGCGCGTAGCTTGGCACCAGGCAAGATATTGAAAGTGTTTAAAGATAATAAGAAGCCGCATTATGTTATGTTCCTAACGCACTTCATAAGACAGCCAGGCTCCTTCCTTTCGACCAATTCCTACAAATTAAAAGAATTTGCAAATAAACACATGATTGCAGTCCATCAACTCCGACAATTCACGAGATGTTTGCCGGCCGTCTTCCAACTAGCCAATAGACCATTATTCAATTTGACAAATCCACTTTTAAGCACTATGTTTGAAACAAGCTGCAATAAGGATCAGGCGTTCCTTTCAACATATAGCGTAGATAATGTATGATCGGATCGGAGATCCGTACATACATTATCTATATCATCTCCTAGCTCCATATATATATATATATATATATATATATATATATATATATATATAACTTTCAGCTTCAATTAATATGAACGTTTGTGAAGGCGCAAGTGCTTCGCGGCGGAATACTCGGATCGCCTACGTGGGCGCATTAGCTAAACGGTGCGTTCATTCATCCGACTCGCGAGACAAGCTGAACAGAAACACAATGGTGCTAGTGACAATAACAACAAACAATTGAGGGCTGAACGGCTTCATCAGCTGCCACTAAAAAAGCAGCTGCGATTAGTTGCTTTGTTTCGCGACCTCCCGTTTTGTAGAAAGATAAATATAATAATAACAACAATACGAGTTACGTCAGTCTTTGACGTTTACGTGTGCAAGTTATCGATTATCCAACATTGGAGTAACAGTTTTGTACAGTATCAGCAGCGATATTAACGTGACCGTTGAAAAAACAAGCAAAGACTGTGTAAATAAAAGTAAATAGAACGTTAGGGGTAGGTTTCTCTTGAGTATAGTAAGAAGCAGAATAATCGCGACAACTGCAACGACTATAATATCTATATATTTAGAACGGCTAGCGTTTACGACGAGTTCAAAAAGCAACAGTTACAATTTTCGCTGCTGTCTTTTGTCCTTTACCGAGAACGAGATGATGGAGAATCGGAGCCGTGGGCAGAAAACAAAGCGACACCTGATCTGTTGCTGACAACGAGGTAATCCAAGAAGCAGTAATAATAAAAAGAAGCTTACTTTTAATACGTAACGTGAAGTAACAGATGATAAAGAACGTGTATTCCTTGGAAGAAACTGCCGCGGCAGAATGGTGCATCACTCAGCCGGTTATTAGCTTTCATCTCTGCTTTTATTCAACTTATGTCGAAGTGTTTGTCGTTTGATTTTGCTGTGGTAAAGTAGCAGTGGTACTGACTGTCACGAGTCTCCCTGGCAGTTGTCGATGATTGTGTAGCTGCTTCGCGCATCTCTACCGGTTCTTTCTATGGCCACTCCGTCGGAGTAGAAGACGTTTCGGAGAATACTGAAGACAGGTATTAAGCGAAAATAGACTGCACGCCACGTGATACAAGTGATTTCTGTTAAATCGTACAGTATACAAATATATATGTATTCGTGTAAGCTTTGTGTGTGCTAATAGTGTCCTTATTGATTATGGCGCTTCTTTCATACTCCTATAATATACTACAACTTTTTTAAATCATTAACCATAAGTAAAGTAGACTTTGCTAGCTACATTTATTAGCAGCTTCCTCACCCAATTTCTTCCTGGGTAATGGTCTGATGATCTACGAGTAAGCCTACCATCATAGCAGAGATACGTTTCCCAAATAATCCCGTTAACGTAAGCAGAAAGAATCACAATGGGTTGTTAGCTAAGGCAGCATTTCGTTTTTGTGCAGAGAAACGTAGTTGCTGGACGCAATAAACATCAGGACAAAAGCACCGGTTTTCCGGAAGAAAACATCAGGGCACTCCTGTTAAAATGAAATGGGAGAATTCATGCAGCAGGTGATCTGAGCCGCCTATGTTTAATTCATCGTATTCCTCCAAAGGAAATCGTTTATTCGCCGTAAAATAGTGACCGAATATCTATGTATGTAGATATTCGTATGACAACAAAAGTGGACATTGTCCAGTAAATAAACGTGGGAAAAACGGAAGATTGCGTACACGAACGAGTAACCCAGGAAGATTATCAGTCCGGTTTCGTAGACGGATCTGCCACCATCAAACAAAAATGGTTGATTTTAAAAGACATCGCTATCCGTATTGCGTAGTATGGACGTCCATACCTGGCCTCACGTAAGTTATCAAGATTTATTGTGATCATTTATATTCGTTGTACGAAGAGTTCATTACCTACATGTTTTCAGATCTACAGCTGCCTTTTGTCGGTCTTTTAAAGGAGATACTCCAGTTTAGCTGCCGACATCAATATTTTGCTTGATTGAATAAATAGAAATTCAAAAGGAACGAAGTTCTACGGTTGGCAGCTGGATTTGAAGCCCTTTAAGGTCTAAATTCGTACAATACAAGATTGGCGTTGCACAAAGTTTGGGGCCAGCATCACGTGCATTCTTAACCCGCCTATATTATCTGATGAGGGCCGGCTGTGCGGTGATCTTGCGGTTTGCACTCGTAACGTCCAAGCAAGAGCATCGCGAATACACTTAAAGATGTGTAATCTCGAGCTGTATCCGCTGCATTATATATATATATATATATATGTATATATATATATATATGATAGTCATGCACTTCCTTGCAATCTATTTTAATAGGTCAAATATTAAAGAATACATATATATATCAACAATTATACGTTGATAGCTAATGGCTGTGAACTACTCGTTGTTGGTAACCAATGAGAAGCTAAACCAATCCGCTTCAATTTTTAAAATACTGAGCTGAAAGCAGGCGGCGCTAGAAACCTGCTTACAAGTACACTTAAATAAGAAAATATTTCGATAACATGGCAAATTCAAAGTTAGAAAGTAGGTATAATATTAAATTAGACATTTTTCTTATTTCTTAAGGTAAAGCTCGTACTTTGCAGAGCTTGCATGCACATCGAATTTCCTCAACAGGTTTCGTCTGATAATTGATCTGAATCCTATGACGTCCTGTTTTGGCTTTCTGAATAACCAATTTAGGACGGCGGTGCAAGTATTTAAAACCCAATTTTTGAAACACTCTTATGTGAACTATCTACGAACCTGTTGGAAAGCACGCCCTGTTGATCAAATTTGACGTAAATTGATTTGGTTCCTACGAAAGCTGGTATCTTTTTTTGGCTCATACAGGCTCTCATTATGATGAGCGAGCAGTTATAAGTACAATTTCTGAGTTTCATGGTATTTTATCAAGATTCCAAAAATTGAGTGTATTGGAAACGAGATGTACGACGTTATTGTTATTAGTTATTAAATTATTAGATTAAGGAGCACGGCAAAAGGTGCTCACTATAGCCATTAAATTTTTTCCCTTAAAACAGCCATAAATCCTACACTTTAACGTTTCCGATAGATCATCTTTACTGTCAACCGTTTGAATAAATGCCTATTTGGAGGTATTTAGCTCACTCTATTGTAGATACGAACGTGTTCGACAAATATGTATATATATATATATATTTATTTTCTTGTTTACTTTCTTATATAGAAAATATACAAAGATATAAGAAATTCACGATCGAAGAATTGCGAATCTATAAAGGTGAGTGTTCTTGAAGTAATCCCCTGCAGAAGACTTGCAACGTCCCTAATCCTTTAAATTGATTGTTTTCGCTCGTAATATTCGCAAAATAGGATCGCGAAGGTAGCAGTCAGCTGTAAGGGTAAAAAGCCCGATGTTAAGGCGTTCATAGTGTTGCTGAACGTCTTAGCAAAAATATTATACTTTTTACGTCGAAAAATAAGTGAAAACTTATGACAACAATTTCAAGATTTTGAAAGATTCTAAAGGGTTTTCGACATGTCGACCAACATGTCACTTAGAGAACAACCGAGGAAGGCATGTGTGAAGACGTTTACAGTTTACATTTCGGGACAGGTGCACGCGCGAAAAAAACTCATAAAGTTCGCGTCATATTTTTATTTCAGAATGGTTTGGGCTACAGAAGGCTTCCTTACCTATTTAGGTCATCAAATATTTCCTAACAAGGATAGAATACAAACTGGAAATTTTCATTCCAAAATATTCGTTTTGAAGCAACAGAACTTGCTATTTTCTGTTTGATAACATTTTTGGGCAAGGTGACAAAACAAATCTTTCCATTGTAATCCTGTGTTCAAACCTAATAGAATGCGGATTTTCTCGAGAACGAGCAGTGAATACTCAAAATAGGAGACGACGTAGAGGTACGAAACCTATGCTGCACTTATAGTAACACACATTTAATGAAATTAAATGATTTAGTTTTTCTATCCGGTATTGCAGCCAAGCATTGCCTTGGATAAGTAAGGTTGTTAACTACTTCTGTGTTATCCCCAATAACCATTGCTCTGTAGTTATATATACTATAAAAAAAAAATTTTGTTGGTGGTTCGTAGTGCCGAGTATTTTTGCAATTATATATTTTGTCTCCTTAGTCTATTAGATTATTCTACGGCTATTTTCTTAGCAGCATCTAACACGGTTAACACACAATAATGGATAGGTAAAGTGGAAATAATACCGTTATAACTTTTATGTTTTGATCGCTTAAATTTCCTTACAGTTAACTTTTAACACTGACTTTCTATATTTGCGGAGCGCTTTTAGTCCGCAATTCACGATTCGGGAGACACAAATCATTAAACAACATACCCAATTCTCATAAAACCGATATATGCTGCCGTTTAATTAGAAATGGTCAGCATCAATCTAACTGTCACTGAGTCATCAATGAGCTTGCTATGTTTCCTTATTTAATCTTGCACTTGTTATATACTGTTGGGCAGCGAATTCTAAAGTAATTTGCTCGATCTCACATCACGTAATTCTGTTTCCTGGAGACCATCCTCTAGCCGCAAGTTTATGCGGTGTCGTTTCCCTTGCTCACTGTTGAAATGACGTGATTACTTGTTACGTTAGATTCCAACCGATGCTTAATAACGCAGCTAATATCTATCTAAAATAACGATAAGTGAGTTATATCTATCGTTAGTACAAGTCAATATCAAAAAATCTTCTACACTTCGTCGAATTTCTGGGGGAAGCTTTGGCTTCTTATGGTTAAAACTATGGTTTTGAAGAGTTAAGAAGAATTAGGGAGCCTTTTAATTAATTTATTAATTAAATATTATTTATTATATTAAATAGTCGGTAATAGTTAATAAAGATAACTTTATCAAAATCACTTTGGCTAATATATTTTGTTACTTGGATCTGAATATATCATGTTGTATGACGTTTTTATAATGGATTTAGCCCTTTTCTGTAAATATTATTTGGAATTCATCAAAGGGATGTTTTACGCAGTCGATGCCCCATTTGGGAAGCATCTGCTTTGTTACAAAAGGTCTTAAATACTTCGGACGGAAGTTTGTCTGAATGGTATTACCCGCGGTGAAAACTTGACTCGGATGTATGCAAACGGGCTTGGTCTAATATCGTGGAAATTTGCGGCGTTGTTTAATTGGCAGTATGATCTATATTGGTTGGGGTTTTAAAAAGATGTGACGAAATTCCGGCCCAAAATGTACTAAATATTGAAGTGTTGTTGCACAACGCATAAAATGAAGTGCAATAGAGTAATGCACGCTAGAACAAGGTTATAAACCCAGTGAATATAAATGTCAAAAGAAGAGAAATGGTAATAAATAAGCATTTATCAAAGATGTGTCATAATCTGCAAACTGCAACATTCAAAACGGTTTTTGTACATAAAATGCCCTCTTGAATGTAATATTTAAGTAACGATTGATTTATTGAATCAGATTCTCTACCATTATGCGAGGACGTTCCGATCCAATTGTTGTGAAATTGTAAACTGCTGAAAACAGTAAGTTGTTCCGTGAATATGATGTCAAGTTAAGTTGAGGTAACCAATTTAAAAAATTAGGAGCAATTGGATTTATTGCCACAAATCTTTACCATTAATAGGTTTCAGTTCGCACTGATATCATCAACGTCGTGGATAAGATGAATCGTGAATAGTGCAGATTCAATTATTGAGGACTGACTGAAACCATATCTAATAATTACAGTGTATATACATTCCCGTTTAAATTCTGTTGAAATCCAGTGGCATAACGTTTCGACTGGATAAAATATCCTAATAGGCATGGTATATCTCCTATTACAATCGTCCGTCTACTTCTGTTCTACCATCGATTCTATTTAGAAGTCTTATTTTGGCGTGCATATATTATAATACAAGACGCATAATTACAATGTCTGGAAAGATCTATGCTAGACACAGTTTAATAGAAGCAAGTTTTTAAAGGGATATGGTCATCATTTATGTAGAATAAATCGAAATTTATTTTGCAGAAGAAGAGTTTATCCTGAAATGATCGTATAAGGATTTTTCTGACTAGAAATTGACATGTCGTTTTTATGAAAAGTTATTAAACTAAATAAAGTCATGCATATAATTTCTTTAAAAAAACAAATTTCGTATTTGTATGTAAGAATAAGCCTAAAAACGTTTTATGTTCTTGCTAACGTTTTTCATCAGGTGGCTTTTTCCATTTATTGGCCATGTTGGAATCTGTTTATCAAATGGCGTCATCACAGACTTTTCGGGACCATATCGTGTCACAGTAAGTAACAATATCTAATATTTTTTTATTGTCAATGACTTTTCAGTTGGCAGTCGAAACCAATTTTAATAAAAGTCATACCATGTTCTTTCGTGCTGTCATAGCCAGTTATATTTTCTGAAGCGGAACTAAACAGAGCGCGAGCAACTGTGTCTCAAACAAACATAATTTTTCACTGTACCTTCTTTGTTTACCATACTTTTTATCTGTGACATGTTGATCTCATTAAACGACAATGACATTAGGAGGATCAAATGGGATTCGGAAATCCGCGGAAATACTGGCAGCTAGATCCGGCCCGGGCTCAGGGTGGACAAGTGAGTATTGAGAAAGTGCTCTGACATTTCATTGCAAAATAATTTATTAATAAGTTAGTCTTAATTGCAGTACTTTCCCGTGATAAGAAGTGAAGACGGTGTTATTTAAATTGTCGAATATGAAGGGAAAGATGTCCAAACTGGGAATTGTTTTGATGAGCTGCTTCTAAGACTGTGTCTAAACAAAGGCACATCTTTCAACAATTCAATTTTTGTCTATGCTAGACGTGTCATATTTGTTCAACTATTACCCAGCACGATTACAGCTTCAATTCAGAACCTAAGCCGCTCACAAGTTCGTTACAAGCTTCTTTTGGAAATATACAAGCGTATACTTGACAGCACAAATGAGCGAATTTACGTTCGCACTGTAATACCCCATGTATAATCATCCGGTGGATCAGCTAGTATAAGCCGGTGCATTACATTGCTGAAAAACTCATGGTTTGTTCTAAATGCTTTACCTATCTACGATTGCACAACATAGAACATGCAAAGAAATTTCTTTAATAGTACGTTCGCCTTTGTGAAAAAGTATAGTCGTATGGCAGCTATTTTACTGTAGATTGTGCTCAGAACATAAGCGTATGCCATAAATTCATTTTTAGCTACAGTGAGCGCATCATCTGAATTAGGAACAATCATTTCTGCGGTGGACTTATCGATATTTTATTATATAAAAACGGATTTTGTCCTAACATAAATAAGCGACGTAGTAATACTACGGCGCACAGTCAGACAAAGCCTGCCTCAATTTGATGCGCCAACCTGTATAATTTCATTATCAAAGCAAACAAAGAAATGTTTAAAATTTAAGTTTTCCGATATTCTTAGGACTTGTATATATAATGTATTGCTTTTTCGGTTATATTTGCGATGCCAGGTGGGTTGGGACGAAGCTGTTACCAGAGCGGCTGAGGTATACCGTGGGAGGATGTATAATCTATTCTGTGACAATTGTCATTCGCATGTTGTCACAGCACTGAACTACTGTGCCTACGACGGTAAGCAAAGCATATCAATTTTACAGATCTCATACGGAATTTTTTGCGGCACCTATGGTAAATCATTTGTGGTGACTAATCTGTTAGTTTTCTTTATTTTAATTTAATATAATAAAGCCTTTACAACTTACTGATTCAAGAACATCGCAGACCATAGCGTTGTCCCCTGCGTTAGCCTGTGAGATTTTAGAAATGATCGTAGGCAACTTATTCAAACTGCTTTTTTGTTGCGGAAATTTTAGGTAAAAGCAACTGGACGCTAATAAGTTTGTGGCTGCGTTTGAGCATTTACTCTCGCTACGTTTCCTACTTCGAGGCCATACGAACCTATGTGCCATTTTGTATCCTTGTTACTTTAGCTACCGTTCTATTCTTCGCCTGCTGACTAGTAACAAAATCATCGACGACCTCAATCATGACCAGAGCTAGCAGATGAACGATACTGTTTGCCATGAAGCTTCTACGTATAGAACAAAAACTATTCCAGCTCACTTCGAGGAATCAAATAACATCGTCTGTATCAGCGTGTGGTGTGCTCTCTTATCTTACGATGGGAAGATGCAGTTATCTATATGCCTCTATATGTTATGTACCTAAGACCCTACATTGTCAATTGTGGACATATTTATGGACCGTTAACCGCCACAGATGTTGTGCAGCAAGCCAAATGGCCTCGTTTGATGTGAGCACCATGAAATATAGAATATGGGAGATAATATATATCTCCCATATTCTCCATTTCAATTACTGGCGCACTGAATACATCCTCTCAAATTCTGGCAAAGGTACCTACCTTACCGAAGGCCCATAGGAGAAGAAATTATCCTTTTTAACTATTTTAATTACTGATTCTGAAGCATAATTATATAGCGCTGTGAAGCTTCAGCGTTAAAGTGTCAACCAAAGACACGATATATCTCCTTATTATCTCTGTATGGGTCGTTTAGTTATATGACAGTCTGTGTAAATAGTAAAGATGATCACAAGTGACTAACTTCTTAGTTGATGGTACGTGGCAGGAAGAAACCTGTAAAAAAACCCATATAAGCTCTAATCCACGGCAAGAAGGGCAGTTCGCCTTAAATGATAACTGTAATCCATGAGCCATTGAGACCATTTTGAAAAAACAAGCGAGAAACTATACTATACAGATTCAACGAAATGGTCGTGTAAGTTAGCGCTTGCAGAGTCATCTTCGAGTCTTGACGCAGCATCAGCTGCAAGGCGATCTTGAATGACATCGGCTTCAAAATAGGTACTTTATGTAAGAGAGATTGTATATGAGATAAGAGGGTAGTCTTCACTGGTTTTTGTTCTTTCGCAACAGCCAGATGATCAGGAGACAAAATTAGTAAGCACGTCGCACGTTAGGTGAACCCACAGCAGTGATGCCCAACGAGAACTTGACTGTGGCTTGCATTTAAGGGAAAGCGTATCACGAATAAGGGAAACCGTGGTAACATTCTATACTGAAAATACATTGTCTGATCCTTACGGTTGTATAAGCCTATATGCATGCTTATTATTGGGTTGCTCTGGGTTGTTCCGTTGTTCTAAAAAATCAGTACCACCTCACTCTTGCGATAATCAATAAAAAAGAAGATAATAGGTTAATAAAATATTGTAAATATACGGTATTGTTTTACGTTTTCACTATTCAGTTATTTAACAAAGCGGAAGAGGACAAAATGGAGATTATACTTTGGAATTACTACTTTAGATAGTTTTAATATAAAGTGAGGCCCTAAACGTGTTGTCCGAGATTGTGGATTATCTATTTTGCTACGCTGATAATCTCGATTCCTTAAGTACACAAATTGAAAGTCTATGGTTGGCTAAAGTTAACGTGACAAACGAAAATTAACTCGTCGGAGATCAGCTGGGACACACAGCAGTAGGTAACATTCCATTCTACGGAAGGAATTATCTATAGGCACGTTATACTTAGCGAAATATTACAAAAACTTCATTATGGCCTTTACTGAAACGACATGTTGATGTTCTTTTTATGCGTTTCAGTGTACTGAAAAAGTTGGAGTTGTTTTTATCTTCGCCTGTCTTTCTTCTAAATACAACAATGAACAAATGGGCAGGCATGACTGATGAGCTGCAAGAAACCCTGTGTTAGACAAACTATAGTCCAATAGCAATAGTAAAAACAGGTGATGCCACTTCGATGAATTGGACAGACAATAAATCATTATTTTGTAAGGTGCAACGTAAGTCTTGCTCGCTGAGAATTTGTGTTAGGATGGCATTAATAATGGATTAATTTATAATGAAGACTGTAACTGCCATCTCAGGTAAGAAGGTTATGAATAATATATAGGTTTTAGACTTCAATATGAAATTGGTGGTGAAACAGGTGGTATGGGCTAAAAAAACAAAAGTCCACTGGGTAATTTTTTTTCTATGCGAAGCTCGGGAGCACAAAATGCCTGGGGCATGTCCATGTAATATATTTCGTGCTTACAAATGTTCAAGTTTTCCAATTTGGCCAGATTTTCCATATATATGTATTCGTGCGAAATAGAGCCATGTGATATTTTAAAAAGAGACGGCCATTTGATCGCAGGGCTGTCGATCTATGTAGAGTAATTGTTTCTACCAGCTATAACTAAAGCTATTTGGTGGAAGTGGTGGGGTGTCTAAATCGATGCGATTTTTATTTGCTCTGACGACTAATCATAATTGCCGGAAGAAGGCTCGGCAGAAAATATCGATTTCAGCGTATGAGCGCTCTGTTTCTGAGTGCGGATCGGCGTATTGAGAAGTACACCGATCACGTCAATGCATCCAGGTTCCGCCGGAAATAATAAGTAGGGAGATATGAGAGACCTTTACATAAAACTCTACAACCGTTTCACGCCGGAAAAGCCAAGTCATCATATAAGAAGAGTTAGGAGACTTTTCCGCAATTATAGTACTAAGCGGCGACTGTTAGACCGGCCGGACAACAAACTCGACCTTAGTTGTTTTTAACTAACGTCCGATAGACTGTAAAATCTATGGAAGCCTTCACTAACTTCGTTACTGCGGTAAAACACACCTTCTGTACCGCGATAGTCGTAGTACTTCGATTACATCTCAAGAGGGCGTAACACGAACCTCGGCAAGCATGCTGGATAGCGAGGCTAAAACATTGTTTTCTGCCTTTATCAACGTAGACGATAATCGCTCGTGAAAGCGCAGCGTCCGCACTGTCTGCAAATACACTCAGCTAAAACCTACAAGCTCTTACTGTGTTGGCCTTCGCTCGCCGTGGGTACGAGTGAATATATTTGCATTTCAGGGCTATTGAGAACAATGCCCACCTCATGGTATTCGAACACGCCACATTCACTAAAAAGCCGTTGTCGAACACCGGTGATAGATATAATCCAAGAAAGTAAAAAAATCAACGCATTGTAACTAAAGAAAAATATTTTCTGCCGTTCTGATCGCATACATTTACAATATACAGGCATCCGACAACGTGGGTATCTTCTGCACATCATTACGGCCATCCGGACGCCGTGCAAGCTGTTTATCATTTGACGGCATCTTATTTTCGCAGCGCAGTGTTTAAGCGCCTAAATCATTTGTTGAAAAGCCAGAGGCTTGTTCAGGTCCTATGAACGTCGGAAAACTAAATAGGAAAGCGCATAGCATTGTCCCGAAAAAGGCTTTTGTGTTGCGGCTTGAGAGTATATTCGTGCATTCTAGAAAAGATTAGCGGAAAAAGAAGCGAACTTGGTACAGGTAGTATTAGACTTGCCAACGGATTGTTTGAAAAGGATGGATATAATTTTACCCCAAGAGGTACAGAATGTACTTAGTTTGCCCCTGTGGTGTCAAAGGTCACGGGAGAAACGCCGACGGCTTAAAAAGTTTGCAACGGCACTTCAGAAGGATTTCATTTAATAGTGGCTTTGACGGCTGCGCCAACAGCTTGTACCCACATTCCACTTCGTGAGGTCTCAGACTGGCAACACGCGCTCGAAGGGCATCATAAAGTTAAAAACTCAAGCGTTATGTGTTTCTCGTAGTACAAAAGTCTCCTGGGAACCAGCATGTTGCTGCGGCCATACAGATCTTGAAAAACCGGATGGTGGATGTCAGTTTATAAAGGGTGCACTCGCATTGCTTTGGATTTGCGTGGCCAACGTGTTACATAACTTTAAACAGCAGGTTCAGTCGCCATATAGGGTGAATGTTTCTGCTTACCAACATTGATAATAACAGTAATATATACATATATATATATATATATATATATATATATATATACAGAAACATTCGCCCTATATGGCGATTTATATACATATTTCTTTTTTTTTTAATGTATCAATCTATGTGTACGGAACTGAACAGCAACAGCAAATGAATTGTAAGTTTTCAAAGGGACTCAGTTATAAGACTTCAAAATAAGTCTTGTTAAAATAATGTTGATGGCCTTGTAAATAAGCAAAATTGTCGAATTTGGAGTGACAAAGGTCAGCACAGTTGCGACGAACAAAAAATGCACGCTGTACATGTTACAGTTTTGTGCGCCTCAAATTGATGGTATGGCTTTCAAAGGCAGTAATGCTAACAGTTGTCGTACGTCAAGTAAAGCAATGGCATTATTGCCCAAGTCATTTCCTGGACGTATAATCTTCCGTTTGAAGTAGCAAGATTGGGCGGCTAAATCATGCGATCTATGAAGCGTTCGGACTTTTCTTTAAAATAGAAGGTCAAGCCGTATGTTATTGGATGAATTGTTATTATGTTCAGTATTATATAGCTAAAACTATGCTAAAATGCAACCAATAATATCGTGAATATAACGCAGATACACAAGCGAAACCGGGGAGGGCATTTATCAGGTGTATTGTTCCCTGCATAGTTCCCATATATCTACCTTATGATGGAAGCGTAATAACAATACTGAAGCGAAGAAAATTGGTGCAATTGGAAATAATGTGTGGACTAAGGTAACAAAGCAAGATGATCTTAAAATTCTATTTAGGTATATCAAAATGTAGTAGAATTGCGGAGATGTTTAGGCGGAATCAACTTGTAATTATCAGATAAAATCTAAGCTTGAAACGGATGAAACTGTTTACGGTGTTCATAGATAACGTCCCTGAAAACCAAAGGTATCAACGAGCTTTATCAACTAAAAATGGGTACTGGTATATTTGTAACTATTATGCTGAAACTTCCCAAAAATATGCAAGTCGATAAGATCATGACTTTGGCATCACCAAATCACAAAATTTTAGGAGGTTCTAGATAAAAAGGAAAAAAAAATTGTGAAAAGCTAATTCGAAGCGAAGAAAATCATTTGGCGAATCGAACTTGAACAGGATGATAAGTTTCTATGAAGATTGTTTGAAGCGCGGAAATTGCATTCAAGCTAAATAGCACAATTAACCAGTATTGCACTTACAGGACAAGTGTGATTCCAGATGTTTTGCAGAAACGTCACGAAAATTAAGATATAGGATAAATTAAAGCTAAGAGCCTCTCGCTACAACCAGGCGCGGTTCATCATGGCCTTTGTTGGATAGGAATTCGGCCTAGCTCTGTACTTAGCCATATCTCCTTTAGCCATTTATTACTTTCTCTGCTTTTGCCGTGGAGTTACCATCTTCAGTGATGATTCTGCGTAGGAAGCTGTCTCTGTGGATGATGCTGGGCAAGACGTTGAGGGTTAATGGAAACTCGTATTCCTATGTGCGCTTCACTTTGTCGTATCACTCGTGCTTTCGTTAAAATACATTCAATGAATGTTTGCAGCTTAGCTGCTTAGTCAACTGGTGGGCTACTTGCCATCCAAAATCCACATTGACCTCGAATAGCCGACGGCCTCGATAAGTGATTTAAGCTTAGGATGAACGTTTTTCATCGTTATTCTTGGGCCCGAATTCAGCGAAAAATTCCCTACTAAAATTACAATAAACTCTTCTATAAGAGATAAAACCTTCGAGCCGTGCATAGAAGTAAACAATAGGAAAGTAAAGTGACAAGGGAACATAAATGGACATCGCTTGCGGTCCATTTTATATTGGTTTTTCCATTGTTTTAAAACTTTTGAACACCACAGGTTTGCGTGCTGAAAAGGATCAGAGCATTAGGACTTCCTGCAGCAGTAAGTATTACCATTTTTGGAGTCTTTTTTGTTATCTATAGGAAGTGACTTGAGATTATTCAAGCAAACTATAGCTTCGAGCGTACTTTCCAGAGTTCGTGTTTTTCAACTATTGACCTATTTATCTGTGTAACTAGTAAGTGATCTCCTCATTTTAGATGGAGGTAATCATTTGGCCCTTTTGTTTTCGAGATAAATTCAAAAAAAACGATTCTCAAAACATCCTGTTTATTTCTACGAAATGGCAAAATTTAGGTTTTTCCAAAAATAGCATTTCTATTTTATATTGTTTCTATGGGACATAAGATGTACGTTGAGCTCATAGACTGAATGCTAATAAATAAGTAATACTTGTAAGCAGAGTATCTTTTTCTGTTTGTATAGCAGACTATGTTGAGGGATGAGCACATTTTCGCAAACGATACTCCAACCGCCGTATCCGCCTCTTGCCTGTGGCATCTCTCAGAAAGTTCATTCTTTGCTGTTTAGCATTCAGGCGCACATCACAGCTGCTGTCAAGTCCTTTTGTAGTGGCCAAGCTAGCCAGGATAATCTACTCACCCAACCTTAGAGTGACTCGTACCGAATCGACATACCCACTCTCCACTTTTCCCTCCTTTTCACCGACCCAAAGGGCTGCTGCACCAGAATCTGTGCCAGTTTCCCTAAGCAGATAGCTTTTTCAATCGTAGACGCTACTTGTAGTACTATAGAACTAAGAACACCCAAAGCCGTAAAGAGCGTCAACACTCTTCTTGCCGTTCCCTGTTCTTAGAATTGCTTTAACAGCATATTCTGTATCTCCGCATAGCGTGAGTAACACACACAGAGATCGGCCTAAGCCAAGCACGTGCGTATATGGTGAAGCTTCATTACACTATGTGTACGCCGATATACCCCGGCTTTAGCATTATATGCCAGACTACAGCTAGATCGTACAGTTGTATAGTTGTTCATTACGAACACAACAATTGCATGATGGTGTCGGACGGTTCATCTAAGTTCAAGCGAGCATATTCTTCAGTAATCTGCTACCGATAACTATATCGACTTGTTTAATATATGCCAGTTTTTTTGTGATGGTGAAATCAGAAATGCATCGCATATAATTTTTACGTGGAGTCAAACGCGTTCTGATTTTGACGCATTTTTAGCGTTGATTTTTTTCGATTGCTGTTTCTATAAAAACAAAAAAAATAGATCATATATTATTGTCACTGAATTCCACTTTGAAATTTTTACGTGTGACAACTTAAGGTTATAGTCGACAGTGTGTTTAATGCTCAGGTAAATATGTTCAATGTCAAATAAAACCGTATACACCAGTTTTAAAAACTAGAGTTGTTGCCTTTAACCGAATCTGTTGCTCAAAATAGTACGCAAAGCACGTCGTATGTCCCGCTATATACGGTTCAAGAAGGACTACAACACGTCTACGGTGGACAACCTTGGATAAGGAAACAGACTGAAGATTATTAGATACATATGTTGGCTGCCTGAGACAGCGGAGTAAGTTGAGTGAGCACTCAAGGCTGTGTACGTAGCAGTCGCTATTCAATATGGTTGTTTCTGAAATCCAAGGACGAGATTGCAAGCACCAACGACATGGATGAGCTCTGCGCCAGTGAAGACCGGCTTTTAAACAGATTTGGTATGAAAGTATAGCGTCAAAAATTATAACGACTCATTATAAGCCACATGACAATGACGAATCCACGTAACTATATCATTGGTTGCCTACATACTGCACAAACGCGTTAAGCCTCTACCCAAAATTGAATTAAACTAAGCCGCCTTTCATGATTTGATAACTTATATGGAATGTGCTTAATAACGGGTATATGAATATGACACACCGTTTCGTTTTGCAGCTTTTGCTGTACCTGGAACTCGTGTTGGTATCCTTCAGGATTCATTATGTCGTCGCGTTTGCCCCGTGGCTCACCTTATCATGGAGGCTACGGGGTCTACGGGGGTTACGGTTATGAAGAACCGACGAAGATTCAACGTTTTGGTCAATGCTGCCGTGCGTGTACAGCGTCGCTGATGTCTCACTTTGGATTGGTTACTCTGGTCATGTTTTACTGTGTTTTCGGAGCGTTCCTGTTCGAATATCTAGAGGCCCCGAATGAAGGGGCCAAAAGACTGGAAGTGATGTATCGGAGAGGAAACGTCAGCATCGATCTATGGAGGATTACTAATGGGTAATAACTAGCCTGATCGTAGTTAATCCGCATGGGGAGTACTCTAATACCGAAGAAGGCACTGGATGAGCGCAAGTTCTTGCGCTAACAACAAATAGGTTTCTGCGATTTTTTGCCCCAACTAACCTGATCATTTGTGTAATCACGACAATGTCCACTTTTTCTTACTATCATACGAAAAAGTTTTGCATAGGCGGAACGCGCACTCGTTTTTCGTTAAACCATTTGCTAGATGTTTTTTTTAATCAAGGTAACAATTGCCGTTAAAATATATTTGCCATTTTGATCAGTTAGAGCTAAAGATTATTCAATCTAATGAATAACTTACTTTGAGAAAGAGAAACAGTAGGTGCCGAAATTTTTTTTAATGTCCTATTGTTTTATCCTAGATCACGTGTCCTTGAGCAACGGCAGTGGAAAACAGATGCCCTTCAAGTTCTCAAAAAGTTTGAAGATCAGGTACGTTTTACTTTTGAATGGATTGAATTATACGATAGTGTCATGCAAACAAGTTTCAAAGTTAGTTGCTTCATCTTTATGAGTAAAAAATCCAATAAGTGAAGTTGTGGCGAAATTTAATTTCTATTGTTTATGGTGGTTTGCTGTGTATATGTGTGTGTGCATTCAGGTAGTCCGAGCGGTCCGCAAGGAGGGATACGATGGAAATGACCACGGAGAGCCGCCACAGTGGAGTTTCACAGGATCACTTCTCTACTCTATTATAGTCATAACGACCATTGGTTTGTATACGCATTAGTAACAACACCAACATATTGCCCGTCGCATTCGCCTATACATTTATTCGTAATTCGTAGATCTTTTCAGATAGCAACATTTTTCGGCATGAACTTATTTACGCATATTCTAGGTTCGATGACATTTAGCGAATAAATATAGGCTAGGCATGGACCAACAGTCTAGACGGTAAAAACTGAGTGGCTACATGAGAATATGAGTATAGATAAACAGAAAAATTTAGCCAAAATTAAGGCAATTTTCAATGATTAAATACAGTTGTTTGGCATCCACAGGATATGGAAACGTAGCCCCGAAAACCCCACAGGGACGAGTGGTAACCATTTTTTACGCGATCGCCGGCATTCCACTTATGCTTCTTTGTCTTTCAAATCTTGGCGATACAATGGCACACTCCTTCAAATTCTCCTACAAGTACGATGCTTTGTAACCATAGATAGTGCAATATGGTTGACAAACTACGTAAATTGAACCTAGTCTATGTTCTGTATGTTTTTTTAGAAGGAATATTTTGTCCACATCTGAATTTTTATCTAGGCTTGTTCCTGGATAATGCGAAGCTCATACTTCCCAGCTATCCCCTGTCTAAAAGCCTGGCAGATCTCCGGGGATATTATTTTAATTTGTTCTCTTGGTTTTAGCTGTGTAGGTCGGTGCTTATTATAGTGGGAAACTCACCAATTGAATTATGAAATACAGTGGGTTAGTTGGTGATGAGTAGATATCATCGATATTATATATTCTATCACACCTCTTTTCTAACGCAACCAGTAAAGGAATTACAATTTTATGTAACTAAGAGAATAATTTCTTTATTTCAAAGCAAACGTAATGACAGTTTATACGTAAAATGTCATATAAAGTGACCATGTTTGGTACAGATACATGTGCTGCGCAATGGTCCACAAAGAGCGGCGCCCACGACGACAGCGGTCGCGCTCGAGAAGAGCATACGCACGCTCTTTGGCGATGGCTGGGTCTGCTAGCGGCATTGGGGCCAGTATGAGCGGCGCTGGTGTTGGGCTTTGCCCAGGAGTTATTGGGACCGGAAGAAAAGTCTTCGTCAATAACGCTAGCACTCAGGCATCGAGTTTACCAACCACACCAACTCTCCAACCAAAGCACTTTAGTAAGGATCCGATTTTCTCTTGTGGCATGAAGCTCTTTTATAGACCTCTATATTTCTACGTTGGATGACTGCGTATTATATATAATTTAATTTATATCAAACCATTGTTTTCCTGTGGCATATTTCGGATTGATAAAAGGAGAACGATATTTGCTCATTCGATCGTAAGACATGTCAGTGCACAAAAGCAAACAAGTTGGGTGACAAAGTGCTCTCCAGATTTCCATTTTTGATTATCTCGAATTTTTTTTGTTAGACGTTGGATACAGACGTGCTGCAAGTGTACCTCGTTCAAGAGCAACCCCGACTCTTAAAGCCGATGCATGGAACTCCCAGATTTTCGTGAACCGATATGCTAAAGAGGATGATAGACAACGCACACTCGGGAGTTCCGGCTCGCCTGAAGCGGCTACTGGGGTGGCCCAGACTTCACGCAACGAACCTATTGTGTTCGACTTTGGTGGCTATGAGACAGGTAAACATAATAATTAGTCTTATTATACTATTATGCAGTATTAGGACATAATATATGCAGCTATTATAATATTGTGGCATGATTTGCTCATTGAATTTCACCGGGTCAAAAATTGTTGAAAATTTTGATAACTTTTAAGATGTCGGTTTCCGCTATTAACAAATGAAATTCATTATTAGTTATTTGCTGATTATTATGATGCTTTTGAATAGAGTCAGAATCATCTGAAGAAGAATATCAGCGCCGGCGCGATGAGGAAGCAGTTCCCCTTTGGATGTGTTGTGGAATTGTTATACTGTACATTCTTGGTGGAGCATGGCTATTTAAGTACTACGAAGACTGGGATTTCTTGGAGGGATCATATTTTTGTTTCGTCACTCTGACTACAATTGGTCGGTATACACTACGTACAGAAACTCGAATAGTTTTAATCTTCCAAAATCGCTTGAAATCACTTAAAGACGAAGAGATACCCTATCTTGCGTGAATTGCTGGCTAAATTCTTTATTGTTCAACTATAATGGTAATGACATCGGTCATAATGGATTCAAATTTGTAGTAGTTATTGGGCTATGTATTATTTTACATAATCTTATTGGGATGGACATGTAATTAAGTCAACGTATTTGTTGAATTGTCTTGCCGGTACAGGATTCGGTGATGTAGTTCCTGGACAGACAATCAACGAAAAAGAGACACAAAGTTCTCGGCTTGCATCGTGTGCGATCTATTTGCTTTTTGGGATGGCTTTAATCGCTATGAGCTTCAATCTCGTGCAGGAAGAAGTTAAGAAGAAGGTGCGGAATATTGGCAAGCGGGTGGGTATCGTTTCGGATGATGATGACGATTAAATCTGTCTGCCAAGCGGCCTATATATTCCACGACGCCTTCCTCTACTTCGAGTACTTTTCCTCTTCGACTCCCTTTGATTCCCCCTTACATATCTTCGGTTATTTCGAAATAGTGTTTTCACCATCATTATTGTCACCATCGTCATCACAAAGGCCAAATATGTGCCTAGATGGAAACAAACTTCTAACAATATATTATGCAACCGCCTACACATTGGTATATGGATTTTTTTCGTTCTAATTAATGCGTCGAAGTCCTACGTCAGCGAAGCATTAATTGCCAATTAACTGTTAGCGACTGAAGTCATTTTGCGTCAGTGCGTACATAATGGTTTTAGATAGGCTGTAGATATAATCTAATCGAACAGTTTGCACACTCACTACACTACGAAGCAAAAACATAGCGCATTTTGAGTGAAGACGTATCGGGTAAAATTATAGGTACAAATGTATACCAAAATGCTCACTCTCATTACTTGCACCGAATCGTCCAATGTTTTCTTGAAGCTGAGGAACAAAACAGTTAGAAAACCAGTCATTCAATTTGGTATGTCACGAACTAAGACTAAGTTCGTTGAGTAGTTGCAGAGGCCAATACGCTATTCTCCTGGTATTCAATCAGTTCATTCAGCTAGTGCAATAACAAGCTTTGATGGACCAAAAATAACGTCAAAACCGAAAACAGACAAAAACCAATAAACAATTTTTCTACAAAATTGCCTCAGAGTAGGTCATCAATAATTAAAATCAATACTCAAATGCAATCAGTGGAAGAAATATTATATGTGTTCATAGCCTAAAAACTTCTATTTCGCGAAACGATGCAGCTCCACGTTGACTGGTCTCCATATAGACTGACTAAATGTTCCGCCTAACCTACTGTAAATAAACACAAAATCGTACTACGAACTTTTTTTTTTGATATAATAGAAATAAGATCACATTTAGTTTTTTTTTTTTATTAAGATCCACAGAAATATGAGCGTTTGCACTATGGACTATATACCCAGATGGTCGATTTTACTAGGAACCTCAACTCTCTAGAGAGTAAAAGGTTCCCAGGTTTTTGTGCAATAAAGACATCAGCGAATCAAAATTCCGCTTGAAATTAAATTATTAACAACTCCACCTTGCAAACGGAAACTGTACGACGGCAATTCTATGTTACACTAAAACTCTTCCCATCCTGCATATTGCTTGACGATATCTCGATTATCTCTCCTTAATCGATTTGTCGCGGAGCTTTCACCCTTTGCTATTAGGGACTTCTTGTACATTTCACGCTGTTTCCTTCTTTGAATCTGTTTCTTCATACGCTCGCGAACATCTTCAGGAGCTATCGTTGTGCAACTTGACACGACAGAACGTTGGCATATGTCATCCTTCTTAACAGCAGAGTTCGCTTGTAGAAGCTCAGGAACCTAGTTTCCAAAAATCACAGCACGACGACCTTATGAAGCTAGCCTCATATGTATTAGACCGACTGATAGCGAGAAAGAAAAGGTTTACCAACGAACCGCAAAAAAGAATCGAACCCTCCTTAACGATACATTAGAATAATTTGAAAGAATACGCTACAGGAAGGCGAAGATAAGGAACTTAAGCAGTAGGAGTAGGACACGGGGTCCCCAGAGGACTAAAACTTTGTAAATCGTTACGTATAGTTATACTAAAAAAGGTGTTATTTTAAGCTATATGAGATTTCGAGTATTTATTCTTTTGAAACTGACAAAAATTCCTCAGAAAGAGAGAGAGAGAGAAAGCAAAGGAGAATACTATATATCAAGATATGCGAGTACCTACACATATAGCAACCTAACACAGCATTAGATCGAATCAAGTACTGAGCTCACCTTTTGTTCTTCTTCTTCGCCGTTTGATTTTTGCGAGTTCGAACCGTTGTCTGGAGTATTTGTATTAAAATCAACCTCCACCTTTGAGATATCATCTACACCAAAGAATTTCTCCATCAATGAAGGATTGCAGCCGTTCTTTGGCTCCGTGTTGAGTTCTAAACAAATCAAAGAAAACCCACGTGCATATATAATATAAGTCTAGGAATGGAATTTACTATTCAAATACATGATTGTCCAACCTTACGAACAAAACAGTTTGAGTGGATTGCAGACATATCTGTATAACTAGAAAAGTTGTCGGCGATTTAAGATCGTTGCTTATTTTTCTATAATTTTTAAGTATCAAAAATTTCCTGCTGTATTTAAATGTCACAGCGATGTACAAGAATTGGTGCCTGTCTAATTATTAAAAAAAAAAAAAAAACAGCTCTAAATCTACGTTATTTATAAGAAGTTACCATAAAATTTTTTTTTGGATTGAACATCATAAAGAAGTCCCACTGACTACACGCACCTTCGGCCTTCGCTATCTGCTGACGATGTCTTGTCTTTAATTCTTTTTTCTCTCGCTTGCTTAACTTTACTTTTCCCATTTGAGGTAAAAGGTCCTCTACTCCATCAGATTGTCTAGCATCACTATCGCCGTCTTCATTTTCCTCTTGGTCATCATTAGCAGGTTCTTCATCTCTGTTCATTCCCTCGAGTGCTTCGTGTAGTTGCTCGCGAACTTCTTTGGTGAATCCTGATGCAGCTGTCTCCATATCAAGAAGATCATCTCTCTCCAGATCAGCAAACGTTGGAAACTCCTCACTTTCATAACCGAGTTTCTTGCGGAAAAACTCTCTTACACAAGCGACGTCCCTATCGAAATAGAACTCGGCGTTTGGATGTTTCGTTGATATCATCTGGGGGAAATCGATTAGAATTGGCTCTTCATCTTCAGTTAACATCAGATTAAACTCGTTGTAGTCGCCGTGAATTAAGCCAGCGTTTCCCAGCTTCACGAGAAGATTCATCAGCTTATCGTACAAATCAGCTGGATTATTTATACTCTGCATTTGGCACATTGTAGTTCCTTGAACAAATTCCATAATAACGCAATGTCTGTTGACACCTATTGGCTTTGGTACTGGAAAACCCCGTTGGTGAAGGGCGTTCATGAATGCGTATTCTTTGACCGCTGCTAGTCTAGAAAGGTATAACCACGACGCGCTCCGACGATGGACATGATAGTCACGCTTCTCTTTGATCTTCCGGAACGACGTTCTACCCAGTCGATGAACTTTAAGCACCAGTTCTTCGCCTTCTACATTAGCAACAAGATAGATATCGGACTCTTTTCCTACTCCTATTTTGTTTCCGACGGAATATAACAAGTTTTGTGCAGTGAATGCCTTCAGAGCCAAATAATCATAGCCGAGATTGGTAAGACGATAACCGTCGTACTTTCGACCACGTTCGTATGAGAGAAGCTTCTGTCGGCAGAGTTCGTGTAAGTGTTTTTGACATCCACCGTGCTTTAGCGAAGCAATCATGGCGACAAGCGGTCCGGGCACTAGTTCATGGTTTTTCATACCCATTTCGACGGAAGTTAACACACGAAAATCGTCCGCCGTCAAATAGCGAAGCATCGTCACGTTGAAGCGGCCCATCTGATTTCGCCAGTAGAATGCGCCCTAGAATGCCTGTGGGTAGTCGGGCTTAGGTCAGATGCATGCGTCTAGAATTAATTTAATTCCCCACATAACATATTTGTGTTGATTTGTCGAAGGTCCTACACAACACTTGAATATAGCAGTCGTTTCTACAAAATCTAGTTCGTCCAAGTTAATCGATTAAATTACTTTGTTGTCTTTCCGCATGCATCAGTTTTTCATCACTGATATAACAGCTGAGTCATATTGCTTCCTATAAAACCTAGCCTAATTCATGTGAATCTTAATGAAATAAGACAATGATAAAAGAATTGCCTGTTAGTTAAACGTTTGCCCATTGTTTAAGAACAATGGTTATGTCATCTCTATTGAAAATTGACGACATTCTGCGTCCTTGGATTTGATTAGGTTTTTACAAATGTGCTGTTCTTATTAAATTCCATTAATAATGCGCTATATATATATATATATATATATATATATATATATATATATATACACTAGCGTCGTTAAGTCTAGCGTCGTTAAGTAGCAATTAATTTAATATAGTGATATTATTTATGTTAACCTAGAATCGTCTTTCATTGTTCAACTGCTCACAGAAAGCGGTGTTTGAAACAATTAATCGGTCGTATTCTTTGATTAATCAAAACCATATTCGAAAAAAAAAAAGTTCTTAACTACCATCACATGGACTCTACTGTTTACTTCTGCAAGGCGTGGATCATTTATTAGTTGCTTATGTATTAATGGTTAGTCGTTTTATAAAAATGGCTGTGTGCATAGTTTATAGTTCTACTTACGATACCTTCACTAACACCCGATGTATCTCTGAGACTACCGAACAGCTTAATATTTAGTCAATCACAAACCATAGATTGTTTGATCTGGCTAGCTTACAGTTGTTAAATAAACACAGGCCACACGTGTAACTTCACTCAGCTGTAAAGAGGAGAGGAAGTGAGAAAGGGTGGCTATATATAAATCCATAGGCGGGCAAATACCCTCTCCGCTGTTGTTGAGCGCCACATTTTAAAAAAGCTGTGTTCTGTACCGCATGCAATTACGGCGTGCTGTTGCTGTGCTTCATTCTAGATACATGAAACTTGCAAATCTATTGGTGGCAGTACAGGATGTTAGCAATAGAATAGGAAGATGAGAAGCGAGAGATAAAGGGAGAGATACACCAAAGATCAATGCAGGCTGATAGATCTAATATTAACAACATCCACTTCGTCACATTATTTATTTTGACTTATGGCACTATTTGTGTGATTGTATCCAAATATAAACTATAAACTGATAGATCGAGATCGACATGCACACATCAGTGAAACGAAGTCGCATTTATTAGCGTTTTTCTACCCTTGACAACGATAGATGCACTTGTTTTTGGCTGCTGGATGTAATGGCATGATTTTCGGTTTCGATCAGCTACAATATGCAGAGCTATTTGGGGTTATCATCACTGTCAAAAGTTTGTGTTTATTGCTTGAGCATCCTATTTGATCTATGCTCTATCCTAGTTATTAGTTAAAGTTACCAGAAACCTGAAATTCGGCGCACTTCTATTGGAAACAACACAAAAGTTACGTCGCTGCCTTTAGAACATAAGGTACATCAGGCAGAGATTTTTAGAGATGAGGCTTACATTAGAACACTGGACAGAGCATTTTCTGTGGGCTTCAGAATAGCGGAAAACCTCTCTAAATTAGAGAGCTGTGCTGTCCCGTAAAGTTAACAGTACGATCAATACAGCCGTTTATTTGACCAATAAAAATCGTCGTTATCGTCAGGGATCAGGAAGTCTTGCTGTCTAATTCATTCCTTGCATTAGGTAACAGCGAGCTCTGTAAGATGCACGCAAATACTACACACAAAGAATTACCTGAAGAGGAAAATAGCCACATCTTACTCGGAACTTATATACTTATTATTATTATTATTATTATTATTATTATAAACCAATTACCGCTAAAACTAGAAGAATAGTTAGCAACTGAACCAACCACAGAACGTCTAAACTTATAATTGGTTCTCAGTTAAGCAGAATCTCGAGGAGTGTTATTTTAGATAGTTCGATGTTAATAGTGATCTATTAGACAGAGAAATAAAGCGGGAGCTCATCAAGGTTCACTTCTCGATGACTGACATCGCTCGGACTTTTTGAAGTTTGGGCTTACTGAAGTCCAAACTTTAAAAAGTCCGCAAAAAGAAGGCAACAAATGCAGGACAGATAAAAAAATTAGCACCTGAAAAACTTTTGTCCTGGTCCTTCACTGTTGAACGAAAGGATACTTTTTCTTTATACCTCTTTGCCAGACTCATACTGCGATATTGCAAAGAAGATTATGTACTACAGTTTGCTAGCCTTTCTGGTTACGACGAGACCAAACTGGTTCCTGGAAAAAGTCCATCCAAAAATTATAAAAGCTTCTAATAGCTATTCTTTAAAATCACAGGATGATGATGGCGTGGCGAAGCCTCCTCCCCCTCCTCATACGACAAGTCTTACGCCGGAGAAAAACCTCGGCCCCCTACTGTTTTTGGCGCCGCTGAAAAATCAGCCAGTGAGAACTTGAAAGCCTAAGGCCTATGCGCTGAAAACCCGGTTCTTTATAGAATTAGCCGTTTAAGATCTACAAGACATCCTATCTCAGGCACCTTCTCGTATTCTGCTGCACGGCATGAAATTGGGTAATTTCTGTTTTCGCGGGCATGCCTATTGCTTACTCCTCGCTTTAATAAATGCTTTGCGATATGGGAGAAAGCGTTTACGGAAGTAAAAGTGGGGTTCTAGGAACTTCGAGCATAAAAAACAGGCCTCCGCGACGGCGGCAGTGATATTCGTTTCTTGACAGGTACTAAGTCAGTACTATGAATTTCTAGGTAATTAAAACACGATTCCTCTTTAGCTAACCACTCGCTGTAAGGAAATTACTATAAGTTAAGCGCCGGAGATGTGGAACCTATTCTGGCTCAGTACCAGGGAAGGAGCAGCCGCAACCGCTGCGATTCGAAAAGTCTATGCTTTTTTGTAATTGGGGACAGGTTTTCGTGCAGGTTCTAACCCAGACGTAAACAGACTTTGTTTTGTGCTGAGAGTCAGTCGTCTGATATGATACCTAACGGCAATACCGAACATAAAACTCGAAACATAGAGAGTTGTAATTAGGTATGTAATGCAAGACTTTCACCATAAACTGTGCCCATGCGGCATTTTCATAAACCAAATGAGTTATGTGTTTATATCAGAAGCAAAGGACGATAGCGCAGATATCGCGCTTCTCGCTGTTCTCATATGGTCTCGCTAGGATTTCTAACATCTTAAATAGAACAGAGAACACATATTTTCTGATTTTTTTATAAGTGTTTGCAATAATATGTTTTTAAAAAATGTTGCAGCCTTAAAAAAGGCGCTCTTGCTATTTTAATAAAAAGAATTCATGTTTCAAACGCCAACACGGCCCTAATCTAAACTAAACCTTTCCAACATCTTTAATATCGATTTTTTATGCGTTCTTTCAGAGTTAACGAATTGTGCAATGTTGCCTGGGTTGTATAATGTAAGTTAACCGTTATATCGTGTTTTATTTCTTCCGGTACACTCATACATAGTCCCTACGATTATGTCGTGCGAGTCTTTCCCGAAACGAGATGGATCTGGCAATGCCTGTACGGCCATTGTTACATTTTTCGACATTCTCAGTTGACCTTCATGTCTTGCTAAAAAGCAAAAGTAAGAACAGAAATTTTCGGTGACAGTCACACGAGCGGCGTCACTAAAAGCAGTATCATCGAAAGTCAAGTCTTCGGTGAGTGTAAGTATCCATTCGAGGGCCTTTATAGATGAAGTAGTACTTTTTCTTGAAATATCTTACAGCTCGTTGCTGAAATTCTCGAGTACCAGATTAAGTAGCCTCGATATGTTCCTGGATTTGTAAGAGAATTCTTCTTGAACTTCTCGAAGCTTGAATAATCATAGCTGCAACGCGAGCATGACATCAACCGCAAATCATTTGGTGCAAATCATGGTAGAGTTGAGTTTGCCAGTATTTCACCTGCTGCGATGTTGTGGCCATTCGAAACAATAGTGGGTGCACCACAGTGCGCACAAATTTGCCGTCAACCTATGATAACGATCGTCGTTGAACGGAGACACTCACCGCGTATTAATAATAAAAAGGAGAGACTCCTCGGTCAGATGAAGATATGAACGATCGAACGAATGACTGCAGGGCTAATTGTGTCACCGTTATGTAATATATATATATATATATATTAACTCTTTCTCAATTATAGCATTAGGACGCTAATGGGGTTAGTCTTTTGAAATATCAAGTTGTTTAGCATATCATCGAGCAGCATCGATTTAATGGATGCTAATGCATTCCAACACAGTTTGTTTTTATCGTAGAGATAAAATAATCAGCAGAGGAAACCAAAAAAATGAGAAAAAAAGCTTTGAACAATTACCTAATCTGAACTTGGCTCAAGTAGATAAGCAGTCTGTCAAAACAATCAACTGAATCATCCTTCTCCGTTTGCAATATAAACAAACAGTGGAACAGTCGAATTTCGAAAAATTGGGACTACAGCATGCTTAATTTTGATGTGTTAGAACTTGGGTTGTCGACTTGGATACATCTGGCTAAAATCTCAGCACATTTTTTAAATATGGTCGTTTTTTGTTCATATGAATTGCATATATATGTATAATTAACTGCCTCTATGTGTGTGAATGATGTGAAAAGATAGAGAGTCATCTATTTGGCTGGCGGACGTTCGAAAAGATTCAAAGGTATGTGTGCTACAATTAAATTGTTCATATCTCGAAGATGTACGATCGAGTATGCTATTATGCAATTAAATGCAAGTAAGAAATAACTACTGTTTTTTACAAACATCCTGCACAAAAAATATTGCTTTACTTTTTTGCTCCGCTTTAGAACTAAAGTTAACTGGTGCTATAATTTCACACGAAAGTTCGATTTCTAGGAAAGACTGACATTTTTTTGTGTGTATTGGAATTGTCACTTGTATTGACCTTTTCAGACGACTACACATTTGATGCTTTAGCGCTGTAGAACAAATATAAACTAAAAGAAACGTTTCTAAGTATGCTCTACCTTTAATAAGTAGTAGTGTAAACTTGTTTAGTTTACAAATTTAAGAAAAGATTTGTTTGAAATAACACAGCCTCTAAGTGAGTAACTAGATAGTTTTGCTATGAAGCAGGAATAAGCCCAAGTGTTGTTTACAAGGAAGTCGAAGGCATGTCAGCACTAGAATTCAGTAGCTAGAAAAGTACAATGGAGATCAATTCCATCGAGGAGGACGTAATAGTGACAGTGGAATCCCTGGTTAACAAGGTGGGTAACCTGCGATACTTTTTTTAAACTTGTATTTTAATGACTCGATATGGAAATATGTCTCTCAGGTTCAGACCTTTTTTTTTAAATATTACTCCCGTTATTTGAACTATTTACCTCTAATGTATTAAAAATTGGCTACAATACGATTATACTATCAACACTATGACGGTAAAATTGTAGGAGAATTTTTTATGAGTAAGAGTTATTATAATCTATTAATAAACAATGAATCAACCTTGCCGTTGCTGTGGCGCTTTCCTGTTTTTTGAGAATACAATGAGGAGTCATCGTTCAACTTAGAGTAAATCTGATGAAACATCCATTTCGTTCTGCACATAAAATTCTTAACTTTTAGATGTATCATGCCACGGGGCGTGAGACAACGATCTGTCTATTTTGACCAAATCGTCTTTGATAACCGCTCCATACATTATCTTATAGAATAACTACATCATAATCTATTGAAATTTATGCGTTAATTCGCTACCGTAGGTATCAGATATGGCGGCCCTACGGGCTATCGCCGATGAAGAGTCGACGGACGAGGATACACTGCAAGAGAGTTCGGCAAACCGAAAACAGTCAGCAGGTGATTCACCGCATGACGACAGCGATTCTGAAGAAATTACTTCGTCTCTTTTGCAGCTGATCGAGTTGCCTGCCGGGATCTTCGTTTTCAATGCTAGAGGTTGAATTTGAGCTTATACATTAATAAATTTATTATGCAAAATGGAGAGTCTTAATAGAAGCATCAAGCTAACGGCCGTATCTTTAAATGAAATTTTGTATACAACAAGATTTGTTAATAGAAAAGTCAGATTACGTTTTTAGAATATATAGAAATGTGGCCTTTAATGTAGAAAAAGCAATGTACAGAAAGTTCTTTTTCCACTATGTAGTGTGTATTTCTTGGAACCGATGGTGCGCTTGAATTTTATTACACGTTACATGATAACTTAATCATTATTCTGTCGTAATAATCTAATCTGTAACAGATATCAGCAAATTACGTTTGACACATCGAATCGTCGGCTCAATGTGCGGTCCACTGCAGAGCCAGCCTGGTCATGCACAGGCAGCTCCGCCATTGAAATTGCGCCCTGAGGAGACTCGACTCCTGCTCGAATGTGGCATCGCCACGTTAGTTTCACCATCAACTCTCAATTGCGTTCCACCGCAGGAAAAATTAAAGGCCTTCGATCAATTCAACCGTCGGTTACATGAAGTGTCGGTATGCAATATAGTAATTATTTCTATATATGCAATAAAATGTGGACTCGATCAAATTTTAAGTACTTTATGTGAATTGAAACAGACGTCTCATTGGTAATGACTCAAAAGAAAAGAGTATCAGCCCCGGCGATGGGGGCATTTTTATGCTATGACTACATAGGCATACTGGTTTCAAAAAGGCACTACCTGAAAATTTCTTGCAGTCTATTTCTCGGATATTGCGCTTGCTCTTGATTATGTTTTGATTCCTCTTGCAGCCTTCTATTAATGACAATTTTACCACGAGTGGTGAGACACAACGGCCCGCATTGTTTTTTAACAGGGGCGTAAACGGGAACACTTGTAGCAATACCTCCTTTCCAAAATGTCTATCAGTGCTCTGTGCTAACCCGTCAGTGATTGACGTTTCACCTTTCGTCTTCGATGCGTTTCAATAGAACATAGAGCGGTACAGGGATAAACTGCAAGCTGTTTGTAACCCACCTCATCGACCAAGGATCCTCAAGAAACGCCCTCCTAATCCTAGTGGAGTTCCATACCAGCCGAAACCGTATGATGAAAAAGACCCGTTTACGGTGCAACTAGTGGATACTCCTTTCAGCACCACTATGTCGGTGTCATCATTGCCGTATATTAGATCAATTTCTAATTCACCTGAGGCTGAACTTCGTTACCAGGTGTTTCGTGAACTCTGGGATCAGGGGAACTATATCGGTGGAGCTTCTAATTTCGGTGCTGACTTTCTCGTTTATAGAGGTAATTGTGCATGAACGGAAACATTTGGGTTTTTATCGACGAAATTTGCTATACCAGTTATTTGCCTTTATAAATATGAGGAGAAAGAAAAGAAACAAAAATAAATATTGGTAAAGGAAAGCGCTATTTAGCAGGACTATAAAGATTCAAAAACTATTCTCGTTATTTTATTTTAGGTGATCCCTCAGCTTATCATGCGTATGCGTGTATAAAATGTTTACCGGTAGGATCGAGAGTAACGGCGGCTGACCTGGTGCGCTATTGCCGTATCAGTAATACAATCAAGAAAAATTTTGTCTTTGCTTCTCTTGTTAATCACCATGTTCGCTTTGTCACCGTAACGTGGGAGGTATAGAAGTAGAATTAAGCTTGAAAAAACTTCGTATTAAACCAGGATTACTTGATACTTGTATAGAAGCTAGTAAGTGAGAATAGTTGCAAATTTCATATGTAAAATTAATAAATACATATTTCATATACCATACAATTCTAAATAATCTATCTAACGCGACACTTAGATAGGCTATAAAAAACAATTTTTTTTAGTCATAAAACTCTCCACCTCTACTCATTATCCTTTTATTATAATTATTAGCCTATTAGCTTTGTGATTAATTCACTTATCGTTCATGTCGTTATAACTATTATAGACATTTCTAAGATTACTGTAATGATGGTCAGTTTGATATATTCAGTACGTTTTACTCCTCGCTTCTCTCATTTTTTTCTGGACCTTTCTCACTTGTAACTTAATTATCCTCCTCCGCTTTTCACTTGTTTTGATTAAATAACAATGTCGGAATGTCTGGAATACTTGGGATATTCTAGCTTGTTCATCATCGTTTGTTGTCGTTAAGGCGTAATAAAGTCAACCGAATTAGAGCTCACTCGTTGCATTAATCAAGTACTTTTAGGTAGCAAGCTCTTCCTCTTCAATATCCATTTTCTAGTTACTTATTATTCTCTATAGAATAATAATAATTATTGTCAGTTATTAAGTCTTACCATCTTTCTTTCCCTCTTACATATCACCCTTTTATCCTTTAATCAATAGCTTTCACTCTGTTTCTTTCTTACGTCTTCTCGTGATAATTACGATAGTAATAACTGTCATATCTGTCTATTAATATTTATACTGGGTGTGATAATACTTTTAGGAATCTCCTTCCACGTTTTTGAGTGATTACGCAAAAGGCTGTGCCTTCGACGATACTTCAGTTGCAAGCGTACCTCAGTTAGTTAGCTCAGTGCGATTGAACCTCTATTTACTTGTGAAAGTGTCCTATAGGAAGCTATTAAACGAAGAAAAGTGAAGACCTACATCTAATCGACTCATCCGTCATGCGTTTTGCTAAAAATAGTAGTCACCTAATGTCCATTGTAGTTTTCAACTATGCCCATTATTATCATATATTTAATGACTAACTCATCTGCTTTTGTGTAATTTTTCGCGGTTGTAAGTTCTCTCTCATCGTTTGTAACAATTATACCCATATTTATTTAACCATTAATAATGATTAGTCGCCGGATGTTCACAACATGGTGCCTTTTTGTCTTCGTACTGCCAGGCGTTTGTTCCTATACAGTATGCCATTAGTGCAATTATGAGGTATAATTTTAATTTTAAAAAGGGAAACTAAATTTCAGAAGCGTTTTTAATTATCGCCGATTTATATATAAAATGATTTTTTTAGCGTGTTCTCTTTTTTATTCACCTCTGTTATATCCTTCTTAATACCTTTACTTGTGCTAAACGCTTTATCACACAGAATAACCACAATATATATATATATATATATAAAAAGCGACCCCCTGGAGACTATTGAACTGCGCTACTGTTTATAGTACTATAGTTCGAGAGCGTGCTGTTCTTGTTGCATCTTTTCCTTCTGTTGTGATGTCTTTCTGTTCTGGCTGATGAGCCAACCGTCAATCGACGCTATTATTAGAATGATGTATACAACAACATGCTCTTATATCGCGCCTTGCTCTCGTGCTTTCCTTTGCCACTATAACGCGTTTTATAAATTTGTTTCTTGCCATAAATTGATGCAAAAGATTGCGATTCTCGCTAAAGGAGATGTAGAAGTCATTTATCTTACCCTTGCATTGTATAGCCTAGGAGCAAAAAAAAGTACCGCTTGAGTTGTTTCTTTTAACTCCTGCCCATTTCGTTCATGGCATCCACTAGTGAGCTGTCCTGAGGTATCTATTTAAGGCTGGGCAAAACGAATAAAAAAGCTTATTTGACTTATTTTATATAATTTGTTTGAACAAAATGCATCATTCATCCACTTTGTTCTGCTATTCCTCAGAATATGCGCCAGCAAATTTTAGGTATTGAAGTTTCAACTTTCCGTGCTCAGCCTTTCATGGTATTACCGTATCCACTTGATTTTTTAGCGTCTGCACAGAGTAAGTGCATGGTTGGCTTTGTATTTTAGAAGATCACGGTGTGATGCATGGAAATTAGAAGAACATGAATATTACTTATGTTTGTAATCGAATGTGGAATAGGAAAAGGTTTGAAGAAGTTACTTAGAAAATTAAAGAAAATTAAAAAAACAGTATTACTCGAGACTACTCAATTTAAAGTGTGCGATCCTTTTGCACTTGATCCCGCATTTGATCTGTGGTAAGTATGTTTTTAAGCGGGACAAAAGAACATACTTTGTTCAAGGAAGTATAGTCGAAGATATTTTTTTGTCTATAGATTTAAATGGGGAAAAGTTTCCCAAAGGTTCAAGATTAAAAAGAAAGCATGATTTTTTGCAGACGCTTGTCCTTATGATTCAGGTTTATGCTCGTTCCCATCACCCGTTCTTTTTCGGCTGACAGTGTCTTTTGTTGACTGCTTCGCGTGAATTGTTTCTTCGGTAGAAGCTGACTTCTGTATATATTAATTAACATTATAGTAAATCTTTGAGGCAATAAGCGAAGTCCAACCGCAGCTAATAGGGGCCCCTTCGTTCATTTATCGAGGTTGGGCTTATATCATTACTAGAAATTCAGTATATTATTTGACGTTTTCTTAGGTTTAGGAAGAATCGATGTTCAATGATAACAGTCAGCATAAAATGTCCCACACCTATAAATGGTCAAGGGCCGACACTTACAATTACCATTACCGCCCAGGAATGGCCGTCAGTGGCGACACAAAACAATATCAAGATGTTCTTTGGCTATCAGTAAATAATACGTGTTACGTATTGTTATCGTATTCCATCGAGTTGGATTTAGTAAGCGACTTAAAGCAGCATCGACAGACGGTGACACTCCGCCCGCTTAGGTGACCAGGCAAGGCAAGCTGCCGGTCCAAACACCGCCCGCAAAATACGCCTCCGCAACTCCAACAATGGAACTGTAATAGAAACCGTTTCATAACAAAGTTATATAGATTTTTAGTGCAGAAAGAAAATAAATATTTCAGAAAACAGATAGTAGTTGCGTCTTCGCGCGTACGCGAAAACGAGTTTTGTGGGGCTTTGGTCCTACTAGCGAAACATATAGAACGCGGGTGTGTAAGCATTGTCATCGATTATATTACCATCACGATCATTGTCCTACCTTCCTTAAGGCTGAATCGACCGGCAAAGTGCATGAACAATTCACAGACTTCCTAAGTGAAGCCCATTCAAGGGCTATCGACCCTATGCGCTGCTGATGTTGTTCCTGCTGCTCTTGTTGGCAATGCCTTTGCTGTCGTTCAGCGGTCTCTATTGCCGGCACTCTTGGCTCGGTATTACTTCCTACCATTACGCCGCTGCTGCTCCTCCACCCACTACTGCTATCTGTTGACACAAAAATAGGTTTACGGCATTATATAACCACTAGCAATATAAACGGAAATCATAGCAAAACGTCACAAAATAGCACCACAGATAGTCAGCTTGCTTTTGCAAACGCATGTGACGAATATTATGGGGTACTTCGATTTGCCACAATCAACGATCGTCTTCACGCCCGTCAACTAATAAAAAATAATGTTTTAGCTGAAAATTATAATAATTTTCAGCCAGGTATACTCCAACCTGGTCACAGGAATGCTTACCACAGTCATTAAGATTATTCACATTATTGCAGTAGGCAGTGTTACTGTGCTCATCGAGAACGGCAAGCGGATGTGAGAGGTTCGCGTAGCTGATTATCTCCTCTTGGTTCTTGTTGTCAATTTCTTTGCCGTCGTTGCCAGCCGCTGCTTTATACGAAGTCTCTTCCTGAGTTGCTTTCACCGACTGAGCGTTTTCTGTGCTCTTTTCCAACGTAAGGTCATAAGAACCCAGTCGAGAGTTACCAAGCTCCAATTTTAGTGCGTCAATTTGCTGTGGGAGTTGAGCATTGGAAGAAGAGACAATGGTATTTACTTGAAACACCGTCGACTGACAAAGCTTTACAAAAATCCAGATTATTTTTCGAATTAATGATTTATTATTCTGATGACTTTTGTAGTAACTAGAAGCCGAGACAAGTGTCTTACAAGACACTTACGTCGCCAGCCGGCAGGAAAAAGAAACTAGCCTCTAAAAAAGACCAGAGTCAAACTTTATGATCTTTAAACTATTATCAAAAGGCGTGGGAATTTCTCCCTCAAGATGTATTTTGTTTAAGCCAATTAGATCAGTGGTCTATGACAAGATATATGAATGTGCCTAAATCAGCCGATATACTAAGTTATATTTGAAATATTATGACAGAGTCCTTGCATGTTGGTGGGAATATACGTCAGCGTGAACATGCTTTGCTTTGTAAATAGTTGTCTATAAAAAAAAGACAAATAGTCCCCAAAAACCTTCTATCGTAAATTAATGTTCGAAGCTTGGAAATAAAATGTTTACCAAAAACAGCACTACACTTAGTCTTTAGAGAACGACCAAGAGACAGACTATTTTCATTTGGTTTGTCTCTAATTAGATAATTAATTGCTAACCTTTTGCATCTTCATGTTTGATGCCACAGCATGTCTGCTAATTCTCACTGTACATACAATTCCTGCATTTTTTTACTTATTGCACTAATTTTTTCGACTATGAAAAACAAAACATAGGACTAAGTGAGCTTGATTGGAGGTATAGTACGCCTTCTTCAATATAACTAGAGTATTATAATGGTAAGGATGATTAGAAAACAGATATGGCAGTTATAGTAGGTATAATTATTGGTTGCTAGTAAAAACAATTTAAAAGCACTTATTTTTACATCGCAGCTTTTCTATCTAGCCAAAATCGCATTGCTTTCATACCTAAGCGTTAAGACATTAACTATATGTCAGTCAATATATTTAAAATAATAACAATAACTTGTACGAACTGTATTGCCGTATCGATCGAGAAAATATTGCAATGAACGGCTGATAGTTAAAATGGATCCATGCAACTGGCTCAAGTGCAGCAATTTCATATTAACTTTAGAAATCATTCATTGTCGGCGTCAATGTTATCAAATACAAACGTGTTATATATACAGAAAACTAAGACCCTGAGTCTTCTGAAGTACTCGAGCAAACGTATTGGCGTACTGCTATAGATATTTACCCTCAATAATGAGTTTAGTTCTTCTCAAAATCGGAGAAGCATTAGATACAACAGCGCGACTGTTATTCGATGGAAGTTGTATCTGTCCCATATGATTCGCTACCTTATATCGGACAATACAGTACGTCAATACCATAATCTACAAGTCGAGGATGTGCATATATAACAAACTGTGTTAATTCTTCTCCCAAGTTATATTTAGTTCTATGTATACTACGTTTCTGACGTCCATTTTCCTTCCCCTTTGAACATTTTCCTATCTGTGCACCTCGAAAATGCGTAGCGACGGAACCAACCTGCCGAAGGTAATCAGCGTGGTCACGCATACTGGTCGAGTGATCTTTTAATGCGGCGAGCAAATCCCCTGTCTGCTCCCGGGGATGCACTCCTAACTCGAAACGGTTATACATGCCCCGCCAATAACGAATTGCCTGCGGATTCAAGCAGGGCTCCAAGAGTCCGCCGCCGTCTAGCTCAGGTTGATATAGTGGATTGCGGTACGCGTCTGCATTATTGGCCAAATAACCCCACAACGAGTAGGTGGTCTGGGCAACATTCAAGTCGCGCCGATCGCGTTCGCAATTACCAATATATGTCCCAAATTGCGCTGAATAGACGTGATCGTGTAGCGTAATAAGAAAACGCTCATTGAATTCAAATGATGACGGAAACTGCTGAGTAAGCTGCCAGGCACCTTCCACAAATTGGGTGAAAATTGGCGCCACCTAAAATAAAAACTGAGTTTAATTTGAGATATGTACATGCAATATAGCACAATATCTAGTCCCATGATCATGAACATTTTGTGACAGGCATTTTGTCCATATTGGTTTATCTTGCACTACCTTTTAACCTGCACTGGATGGAAGCGGCCAGATGTTTTTTCAACAGGGATATATCCGATAACATTCAATCTGTCTTTCAGTGTCCTCATATGACCTTTTGCTAAAAACGAATTCTAGATTATGCACAGCTATATTTCTGTATAATGCCGAACCTGTGTTATCAGTTTCTGCAGTGCTATTTATGATGTCTTTACAAAAAGACATTTAGCAGTCACAAATTTATGCGTAAATTACAGAGCGTCTAGATTTACATATTCTCATGAAGAGTGTGCCTTCCTTGAAAACAGAATGATCGGGAACATAGTAAGAGAATAGCTTCTCTTACTAAGTCCCCAATCGACACTAAAATACTTTCAGAAACCTATATAATAGGATATTGAGCTTTGGAAACTTGAAACTTAAGAAGCCATCCGGCGAAGCCTTTAACCTGATGAACAATGCATTTCTTAGAATTTCCGTAACCGACACCGTAATGGATTTCTTGCGGTTTCGTATACTCATGCTTGGGAATAAACTTTATTATTGTAAACTAATAGTATTTCAGATCTTTAAAATACAGTATACGAACGCCCATTACCGCATACATGGCATTATCTGGGGATGAATCTTGTAGCATATTATTAAAACCACTATCTGGACAAAATATTATACGTAATTTTGGTGTCATGATTTAAATTCATTCAAATAATACCTCTTTTGGATCTCCTTGAATGAAGCCGCATCGGTCCATGAACTTGTGACCGAATGAAAGCCAGTCTTTCTCTATGAGTACTTGGAAACCCTTAAAAGTACGGTAGAACGGATCTAGAAGTAGCGAGGCTAAAGCGCAAGTCTGTGCCGTTCGATCCCAACCATCCGAACAGTGGACCACCACACTAATACCATAGTCGATTTGTCTGAAATAGCCACGGAAAAACGCCACACGTCCTTCGATGGGTACTATATTCACATGTTACTCTCCCTAAGGATCTATTCAGATTGCATGGGCTGGCTGTGGGTGTATAGCACAGTTCGTGCCAAATGCACACTCCTGCAACCTGATATTGACAGTACCGTATTATAAAGTTTGGACACCGCATTCTGTTATTGCAGAAGTTTCGTAAAACCAAATTTTGTTCATGCTAAAGTAAAGCCTAGAAAATGTGCCTGGCTACTTGAATATGATTTATTGCTGATATTTACCTTGCAACAAAATAAGCAGTTTCCAGTACTGCTCGAATGTGCTTGAGCCAGCCTGAGCTTTCAAGCATAGCAAGGAACGCCCCATGGTTTGGGGTCCTCATCTCAGCGGCTTCAAGGAGCTTCTGCAATGAAGCTCGCATCACGTGAATGTTCTCGATTCCGAAAAACTGAAACTTGGCTTTCTCGTAAAACACCGCACTTTCAAATCCCTTTCCTGCCATCCGTTGTGCGAATGCGTTCACCTGAATGTCGCGTTTTCGAATAACGACCATATGCAGAACAGTTAGATGACAACACTATGTGATATTATTTGATAAAATGCTTTCTAGATTTTTTAAGGCTCTGAAATTTGTGAAACTTTTATATCTGCTAACAATAAATGATTCCCCACGCTGTCTTCATCATGCAATGCAAAAACGCCAATAATGCCTCTGTGCCTACATTTTTAATATACCACACAGATCTCTATCAGCAATCTGTATATTAAAGACAGGTTAACCGTTAGTTTGCTAGGGCTTACTGCCTGGTTTGTGATGCATTATTGATGAGCAGTGAACGAAGAAGACGGGACTAATACACAAGGGTATCCATCTGTCTTCAAAAAAAGATCGTACTACGGGGATAGTCGGGGGTGAATCACGGGAACCGAATACAGACAGACACTCACGGCCTTCGAAGGGGGCCGACGGAAAGCACATCGGGTGGGGAAAGCCTGCGTTGTTGTAGCATACGTTACCCCAAAGAAGACACAACGATAAGGAAGATTTGCCTCCGATACCGGAATGAATCACGCTAAGTTCCTTTGAGAAACGAGAATTCTTCCTTCAAATTCTTTTGGACATGAATTCAGGCAGAAATTCATGACGTAAAGATGAAACTTGAAATAATAGTCTTTCACCACGATACACTTGGTTACCGAACGTTACCCAAGTGGTGATTCCAGACAAAGATCATGTACGAAAATAAAAAAGTGCGAAGATTGAAAAATAACCATACAAATCCTATTGATTAAATAATCGGAATACATGAAAAGCGACCAGAGGGATGCAGAAAAAAGCTTTTTTATTTCATACGTATCATTATGTAAATGTGTATACGCACTGACACTGATCGCAACCGGCTCGGGATAATTACAGGAAATACCAGGAAGAGACAGAGATAAGAAAATCAAAATATTGAAAAATAAAGCAACACTAGATGTTGTTTTAAAAAAAGTAGAGCAATAAAAGCACTTAGACTCACTACATGCTTATTAAATACATGAATATAATGCATATTAACAAATAGATTTACTAACAGCTGTGTATGAGACAATCATAAGCCATGAGTGTAAACGAAACAAGAACTGAAAATACACAAAACTCAGGATTAAAAAGATAACTCGTGAAAAGGACGCGAAATCCAAGCAAACGGATAAAGGAAAGAAAGCAAATAAAAAAAGTCTCAAAAACATTTCCAGCACAACACTATCTTCGCAGGACAAAGACCGCTTTAGTCGGCCAAACGGTGATTTTCTACGTCTTTTTTTTTTTTTGAAGAAAACAAAACCAAGCAAAAACAATAAACAGCTATGTCGCAGCCAGTATCGAATCCAAGCGATAAATATGGAATGGAAGATAATCGATAGTCGCTATTACGACTATAATTTAAAAAGCCGCGGTAATGGGTAGAGCACGTGACGTATCACATAATTGTACTTTCATGATTGACTGTAATTGTAACTAGTCAGAATATGAATGTTATGACGGAAAAACTGCACGCGATTATTATTACAGTCACACAAAGTATAGCACATTAATCTGGTGGGCCAATAGAACGATTTTACACTAGTTAGAGTGAGTTGTTTCCAAAGAGCCCAAAATGAAAAATTGTATGGAAATCTAACGTCTATTTAATATCAAATCTAGGTCGAGCAAGGTAAGAAACAGGGAAATTTAAAAGTAGCTACATAATTAGTATGCTTGACGTCAACTAATATCACCGGCAGTGTTATTAGCCCCACCTTTGGCCGAGTATCGACGATATATAGGAAGTGGCTGTTTGGGTTCGTGTTGGCCTTGAGAATACAATCAAACACCTGCTCGTCTTCCGGACTTCGCTTACCGGAGAATCCTGACAGCGGTTGGGAGCACCTGCGGCCCCCCATGTCAAGTAAAACAAACAGACATGGTAAGACTAAACTGCCGTAATGCAAACCTTGTTCATCGTTTTACTACCTAACCAAGCTAGCTAACCTAGGCAGCATGTGAAGCTATTAACTATGTCAGATCTTTGACATTAAGTTAGACAAGTTAAGCAGAGCGCCATACCTTTTCTACCACTTGTCACTAAAAAGACACGTGAAGTTTTTCTGCTAACTTACATTTTTACATCTGTAACGACTCACCTGGAAATAGCTGCTCCATTGACTTTGTGGTAATAGGTCAAAACTGGTAAACGACCCTTCGATCGAAACCGTGAACACTCAATTAGCTGTTGCTCCGAGGCACCCGCAGGTACCCAAAGGAGAGCTGAGTACGTGTTACAAATCTGTAATTTTTAAGATTTTAAAAAAGCAAACCAAAATGAGGTTTACTTTTCAACCGCAAATTGCCTGACTACCGAACAAGTGAGCGAATATATCTTAATTATGAATCTGATGGTATGAATCAGTCATCCATAAGACATTCATAGAAGCCACGAGAACTATTAGAAGGAACAACTTAACTGTATATATACTCTTTGTCTTTTTAATTAATTTACAGAGGCAATAATATTTAAACGTTACTTAAGTTAGCATAGACGAGGCAGACAGCTTGGCCTGTCAGGATTGCAATCGAAATATACATAGTTTAAAACGTATATTATGGCCGTTTATCTTGAATGTTCTCTTACTGCTCTCGGCTGTTCATTTACTTTTATATACCATTCAAAGGTGCTTTGGCTTCTCAGTGAAGCTCTTATAATTTCTTTTTATTCTTATCGTAATTTTAAATCAATTTGTCGCATCCACTACATTTCGGCTTTGACCTGGAGAAACATCTGCCGAAACAGCTTGAGGTGTTCGTGCTGTGTACCGCAAGGACTCTACAATGACTGAAGGTTGTACTTGACGAGGTTTGCTAAGGTCGAAAATAGATTTGGAGAACGTACCACACTGATCTATCACCTGAGGTCGATGAAAACCTCGAACAACCAGTAACTCGTTAATTGGAGGAGACGATAAGCTGCCAGCATCTGACAATTCTCATTCACCTGAGTATATGGCATTTTATTAGATAGTAGGAGTCTGGCTGTGCCACGAACGGGGCGAAGGGCATATAAAACCAAGGCGTATCACCGATTCTCAAAACCTCGCCCAGCACCGGGCAATACGCAGCCACAATGATCGGTTTCTATACAGAATTGTCATTAATAACGAGAAGTGCTGTCGACGTAAGGTAGAAAACGGATTGATAACTGCAGAAGATATATGGCTAGCTGCATCGATCAGGCTCGAAAATTTCTTTTGAAATTGATGAAAAGAAACATTTTTTTGAGGTGCGGCGAACGAGAGTAACGGCGAATACACAATGCATTGGTTTGTTATTAGAATTCTAGTGAAATGCTATAATTTATTTAGTGAAAAACAGTAGCAGTTTATGTTCGAATCTAATAAATAAAATTTACGCTGTTGTATCTTGGGCTAGAAATATATATATTCTACATTTTGGTGCACTATATTTCAGTGGCAGTCCGTGGGAAGAAAGCTCGTGACACGTAGTTGAGAATAGCTTTTACTATCACTATAATCTGACCTGATAGTTTGAATTAATGTCGCTTTTGATCCACTGCTTATTAGGCACTCCCTGTCGTTGGAACTCTTCCTCAAGCGAGAAGAAGTCCCACCCGAATGTCTTGGGTAGATCTTCGCTGCATGCCGTATAGTGGAAGCAGTATAGTTGGTGTACGTGCACTGAATGTCGAACAGCAGACGCGTAGCCGACAACACAGAGTTACCGACATCCAATGGTCCCCAAAGGAGTAAAAACAAAAATATAATTCATGTATACAGATGCCGACAGTAACAACACCAAAAACACATAAATTATCATTACTATCAAAACTCGGTAATATCTAACGCATGTGCGTCGCCTCGACCATTTTGAAATCGAACTGCTTAAATAGATCGAAGGTAATCGATTTAGAAAAGAACATTTCTTAAAAGGTACCAATATCTATTGAAATTGTCGCTATATATAATAAATCATTCAAATATGTTTACAAAATACATATGATACACAACAGTAAATAAAGATTAATAATTAAATATCTAATTAAGCAAATACTGTCTATATTACTAAGACTCATGTCTACAAATGCATTTGTATCACGATAGTTCACTGAATATATGAAATACTATCTACATTTATACTTTAAGTGCGACTCAAATAAAATACGGTTACACTTTAATATTTCACCTTTTTTTTTAGGCCCGAAGGATCACTTACTCAATACAAACAAAGGTTTCTGAGGAAATTTTTTCATAGGTAAGTATTTACCGAGAGAGACCCCGATTTTCACATATTATCATACAACGCAATGACACCGCTGGATCGTTTAATCGTTTAAATCGTAAATTCATATCGTTTAAACGTTAAGACAAGTTGTCTAGGTAGTGTGATACATCGATCAAAAATGGGTTGCAAAAGCAAAGAATACTCTTGAGAAGCTCATCATAAATTGTTGCACCCGGTAGTTGTAGCGATTAAATACGATAGTGCTGCTGGCGTGGTTATCTTACATCTTATTGATGGCAGAATGGATCATGAAATGTACATTACTGTATTTCAGAAGAGCCCCGCTTAATGTGTCTACCAGATGGGACTAGCTCGCCAATAAATATAACAAGATGATTCATCAAAACATTACTGTCAGCATACGGCTATGAATAGTAGGCTGTGGTTTCTAGCCGTGATATCAGTACTGATCGAACATTTCTGGAAGGCATTGTACATCTAAACATAGGTTGTAAAAAGCATAGAGCTTAGTATTTTGCCTAGGATCGGTCAGTTCATGGGTTAGGCCACCTCAGCCTGCTGTGGAATTTTTGTAAAGAAGCGGATTGAGTCATCCATGTTTACTTGAATCCTGCTACTCTTTCCAAATTGGCAGCAATAAGAGTAGAGTGCCGACTATTAACAAATAACCGGCCAACTGGGAGGTGTCATATCTTCATTCATCGCCCTCAACAGGAAATACACCGTGTCTGCATCTGTCATTTGACCACACTACCGGACATGCTTCTATTCCGAGTCCAATCATTTCTGATGTCATGTAAGCTGGCCGTGACACGTAGGCATCATCTGTAATAGAATGCCTGCTTTAAAAGTTTTTATGATTGATGAACGGTAGCGAACGGCGTAAGGGCTTATCGCCGCGAGCTTCTCTGGGTCTAGGGAGGTTCCCAGCAAAAAAACCTTATCACCAAGGTATACGACTTAGCGCATAGCGAACGGTGCAAGGGCCTATCGCCGCGAGCCCCTCTGGGTCTACGGAGGTTCCCAGCAAAAAAACCTTATCACCAAGGTATACGACTTAATGCGTAGCGAACGAACCTTTGGACACATTAAGATGTTGAGCGGCAACGTGAACCCGTCGTAATGAGAAGATGTCTCTTTTTGTAATCGAGCTCAATTTGCGACAGTCGACACAAAACCGGAGCAAGTAGGGTAACCGCAAATGTGCACAGAATGGACAAGAGCTCAGTCAGGTTGTCATCCGACGTCTGCAATGCGAGCCCAGTGCCTGGACCCAACTCGCCGCGTATATACACACGGTGAAGTTTGTCACCGATGAGTACAGTACGCTGACGGAATGCGTCACAGCTGGTTTTCCCGACTCTTCAAATAACTGATTGAAGTCCTTACGTAGCCATTTGATTAGTTGCTTCCCATCAGAACTCTAGCAGTATGCTCAATGGTCAGGAGGCGTATTAGAGACCTACCCAGCGAGTGGTTTAAAACTATTGACTCAACGTAACCTTGTATATAAGCTGTTGTTTAATTTAGTGATAAACTTCACACGTTCTTCTTGGATCAATAGTCATCACGTTTTAAGGAGTCACGGATGTACTCCGTGTAGGAGATTCCTGCAAGATCCCACTCATCTGAACCGCGGTCTTTGGAAACTCACTTTTTTTCACGATTCTGGCGATAGCAGCTAGCCTTTCTTGGCCATGGTGGGGTACGAACGAATCAGCACATACTGAGATAACATTCATCCTCATTTCTAGCCAGAACGAAATTTCTTAAGAACGACCGTTCGAAAATGACATCGCATGTCAAGTTGTCGACAGTTGCAACTATCTCTACCTAATCCCTCCTGACTCTTGACCTTTTCGGCAACATCTAGATGTTCCTGTTGGGCGTGGACGAATCTGACAACCCTTTTGGTAGCCTCAGCCCGGGGCCATGCCTAAGTATGTTCCAATAGCCCAACCGATGTGACACTCATGGTGCTTGTCACACACCTACCAATCGCGAACTCTGAAGAGTGCCCGTTCCCATAAATGAAACGGCAAAGGAGCTGAACTAGCATAATCTTGTGTTTGATGATTGTGTATGTGGACAATTAGCCTGTAAGTAGTCCCGGTCTCCACGCCGATAACATAAAATGTTGGTACAATTGTAAATGGAGCTAGGTTAAATAAACGTAACACCACTAGTCATCAGTCTCCTCTCTTCACAGTCCTTTGGTGTATGATACCGGACGGCCTAAACCAGGGCACTAGATCAAACCAGACTAGCCGCCGTGATCATGTTTACCAAAGGGATCAACCTCGCTATATTTTTCATGTTAGACCAGGAAACCGTAACTGTAATCTAACTCCAGTTCGCCCATAAGAGCACATTTGGCCTTGAAACGCTCTCAACGTGCCCTCTTTCACCTATACCTGTTCAATAAACTTTTTCGGTGGGTCGACTTTTTTCAGGGGAGAACGATCATTTAATTTGAGAATTTCCTAATTGTCTGGTCTGGCTACGACTTCTAGATCATACCATACTAAGGCGAAGTCACATGGGTACAAATTCAATTTGTTCTTGCAGCCACTATCAGTCGATGGCTGCTCGTGCCCTCTTCTCCAACCATCTAGCGTACCGCTGCTGTCAAAAACCCGGCCATCAAGTTTCTGCACAGTTTTCATAAAACGAGTAATTAAGCCGTCCGTATTTCCTAAAATCCCACCGCTGCTACCAAAATTTACGCAATGGCAAAATTCAACCGCTGGCAATTAACGACTAACTACCTGGTCGTAAGATATCATATGCCCACCTGCTGACCGGAATTGGAAATACATTCGTTCTAACAAGAATTTCTGATTCCATTTTAATAATGACGGGAATTTATTACTGTAGTAGATTCACTCGTTTTGCCTATTGTAGATCCTATTTTAAAAAGATAAATTGACAGATTATGATATTACATCCGTGTAACGCCATGACTTGTCGTGTCTAAGTCTGAGTGTTTCATTTCCGAACACAATACTAGCAATAGGGAATCCACCGTGTAAATAAAGCTGCATTGTAATTTTACGGTAAATACATGAAGTGTCAATGCATACCAAAAGCCGTAATCAACATCAATGAAATAGAAAAGTTAGCTAAAGCTTCAAGTTTACCATAGCCTACTATAGCTAGTTTTATTTAGTTAACTAAAAAGCAAGTATAATCCCAGTAAATTAACTCTTGTGCGTAGATGAAAGTGAACGTTACTTGTAGAGAAACTGTCTTTTTTATTTTAATTTCAGCTTCCTAGAAAGTCAATTAATCTGGAGTAGCATTTATCGAAACATAGGAACAAGAAAATGAGCAACCCTGCACTTCTTCTTCCAGAACTTCATAGCCTTATATTGTGGATGGTTTAATCGTCTGCCATAAAGAGAACGTTTACAACCTTTTAGAGTTGTAAGCGCTATCTTGATTCCAATCATCAGCAATTGTAAGTAGTTCCTGTTATATATGCTACTAACGTCAGGCAGAACAGCCGCTCTATTATTAGTAAGCCGCAACTTATACCTGATAGACTAGAGAAAATAATTCTGATTGCCGCACAGCCTGTTTGATAGAGGTACAAACTGAAAAGACAAGTGGTTACGTACTATTAGTTGACTGACAAATTCAGGTAACGTTTCGAAACTTGCTGCGTATTTTTGAGTCCTATTCACTATCTGGGGAGTGAAAATATGCGCTCGGAAACTCTCGAGCTGTTTCTTTTCTATGCTATATTACACAACAGTCATATATTCAGTGACACTAACCCCGTAAGCCTTTGTTGGTACGAATTAGTTCAAAGTCTCATTAAACGCGTCACTTTATGCATACATATGGATTTCACCTAGTCTAATTTACTGTGTTAATGGTCAATTACATTAATAGATGTTTGTTTGATTTATCGGTCTGCGGTGTTTCGATTACAAGGCAGTGGTCATGCCAAATTCAATTCTTTTTTTCTCATCATCACTCCATCATCTGACTCCCTTAAAACGATAACGGATCGCAAACAGACAAAAACACTGGTTAATGCTCACGTCTTATTTCGGCAAGATCGACAAATCATGAGATTGAAAAAGAACTGATGTAGCGAGCTGGCGCTGGAAGCTTCGACACTTTGACATAAGGTAAAGCTGAATAAAATCAGTAGAAAAACAGCCATAGTTAATTCTTCATGGACACACAATGAAATTCCAGCCTTGTGAAAGCTGATGTTCATTACATTACCCGAATACATGAACTGCTTAGTGAGAACACTACTTTTAGTTCGTTGCTTGCGAGACCTAATGACGGATATCGACAAACAGGTTAACCCACTCAAAAGCTTTACAAGCCTATAAGTAATAAAGTTGGATTTAAGG